ACCGATCGACGGGCATCACTTCACGCACACATTCGGAACCTACTGGACGCAAGCAAAGCGCGCCGACAAGTTCCAGTCCGCCACCTGGCCAGAATCACCGGCACACTCGCGTCGATGGCCGTCGCACTCGGCGCCACGACGCGTGCATTCAGCCACGCCATGCTACAAGCAATTAACGACGCGCCATCCTGGGGAAGCAGCTTGAGCATTTCCCCCCCCGTTGCTGAAGAGTTGCAGTTCTGGCTTGAAGAGTTCGACAAATTTAATGGCGCACCATTCCACGTTCGGAATAGTTATGACGCGGTAATTCACGTGGACGCCAGCTCTCATAGTTGGGGCGCCACCCTTCTCACCTTCCCTGGTGAACTCGAAGAGGCAAGCGCAGCCATGCCAGAACCATTGCGAATGACGTCCAGCACTCGGAGGGAAATTGAAGGCGTCCTTTGGGCCCTTCGAACGTACGCGAACAAGGTTCAGCAAAAACACGTGCTCGTGAGGGTGGACAACCAAGGGGTCTTTTTCATCCTCCGCAAAGGCGGCTCTCGCACCCCCGACCTCACCACCGCTTGCAAGGACATCATCCGCACGTGCATGGAGCTTGGCACTCGATTAATTGTTGAATGGATCCCGCGCGAGCTAAACTCCCATGCAGATGAGCTGTCCAAAATGATCGACCACGACGATTACTCCTTGAAACAACCATGGTTCCGCATCCTCAATCGTCGTTGGGGTCCCCACTCAATCGACCTTTTCGCAAGCCCAAACAACTCGCAACTGCCACGATTCTGCTCAAAGATACCACACCCGGAGGCCACTGCAATCGACGCATTCTCGATTTCATGGTCGACCGAGAATGGCTTCGCGTTCCCGCCACACCAGTTAATCCCAGCAGTCATCCACCACGCACAACGCACCCACGCTACACTCACCCTCGTCGTCCCACATTGGCCAGGGGCAACCTGGTGGCCGCTCCTACAACCCTCCCCACCTAGCTGGGCCCCGCATATCCAAGCACAAATTCCCTTGACGCACGGCAGCCAATGTTTAGCAGTAGGCTCGCACCGCACCGCTTTCTCAGGCACAGGATTGCCTCATAGTACAATCGTCGCATTACGAGTGGTCTTCAACTAACCCATCTCGTCCTCCTTCGCGCAGACATACTGCCAAAGCTACAAGTACAGCTTCTAAAGATGCTCTCACAGTCTCGTGCTGACTCAACGATCCAAACGTACGAGCCATACTGGGTCAAGTTTCGAGCCTTCTGTGCAAAGGTGGACCTCCCATTCCTCCCCGCGGCAGACATGACCCTCGCACTATACCTGGTGTACGCCATCAAACGCAAGGCCACCCTATCCATGGTACAACTCACCTGCTCAGCCGTAAGCTTCGCCCACCGCATGACTGGGAGCGCATGCCCAACGGCAGGACCATTCACCACTCAAGTACGCGACTTTGCGAAACGACACTGTCCTCGCCCCACGAGAGTGAAGGAGCCAGTCTCGCTGCAACAAGTCCGTGACATGTCGGCAGGATACCTGCGATCTGACAACCCCGGCGAATTCCAAAAGGGGCTCATCCCCATTCTCATGTACTCCGGATTCCTGCGATACTCAGACCTCGTCGCCATCGAGTGGCAAGACATCCAGTTTGACGACGAGGTCATGTGGATCCTAATTCCGTACTCCAAGACGGACCAAGCTGGAAAAGGCACATGGATACCTATCGCCGCAACACACGATCCGTTCTGCCCTGTCCGCGGCACTCAACGACTCATTCGACTCGCCGGATATGATCAGCAATCAAGGGGGCCGCTGATTCGCACCTTCGGTCATGGTTCCACCCAAGGTGGCCAATCAAGGCCACCGTCGTATCCGACAATCCGAAACTGGTGCAAAGAGGCCTTTGGGAAGATCGGACTTGGAGAACAACAGCTGGGCACTCATTCCTTTCGCAAGGGTGCAGCCACTGCCGCGGCAAACACCGGCGTGCCAGACAGAATCTTCAAACGGCTGGGCCGATGGCGTAGTGACGCAGCCAAGGAGATGTACGTCACGCCAAATGCCGAACATCTCATCAACGCCTCCCGCCAGTTGCAGGACCTGAATCATGCCCCGTCCTCAGCACAGCACGCAGAGGCACTCATCCGTCATCGGAAGCCCCGGCTACCCATGTCTCAAGAACCCCAGTTGAAATGAGAACGATGCCAAATGATAAGTAAGAGAAAGCAAGCTTTCTAAATATTATAATTTTTAAACACACGAAGTGTTTTTCAAAATTACGTATTTCGAAAGCGCAGCTGCTTGTAACGCATGTTTTGGCATCGTCGAAGCGCGCTAAACGCCCTTCTCCAACTACAAATCGTGGGTTGGAGCTCATTTCCCTCCACCCACGTCTCTCGTTTTCCAACGGCTCATGCAACTCTCCCACCCCCCGCCCCAACACTGACGGGCATCATCGACGCTGCTTGAACGAGAAGATCGATAGCTTGTAGCATGAGAGACATCAAGTAGCATGATGAATCGCTAGTACAATGATTGATACGCAGTATAGTAACATGTACTAGCACTTCTGTTTCCTAGCTCGAGGTGCATGTTGTAACGATGCCCAGTTGAAATGAGAACGATGCCAAATGATAAGTAAGAGAAAGCAAGCTTTCTAAATACATTTGATTGATTACAACCACCAGATCACAGCAAAAGTGAACCCGCCCAACTGCCAGAGCGTCAGTCTGTGAGACAGTCAGTCTCAGGTTGTGAGAGAGCGAGAAAGGGAGGCTCTCATCGCAAGCAATAAGAGGCTCTTGATGTAACACAGTAGTCAGGCGGTCATATGCAGAAACTGAGGGCGGACGAACAACCCGGCCGTACAAGGGCGAGAGGAGAGGAGGATCGCTTTTGAGTCTATTCAAAGGGGGGAGGGTGCGAGACTGAGAGCATGAGGGTGAGAGGGTCAGAGTCTCAGAGAGTGTGCTGGATGGTTTGTCGCCGTCACACCACGCGTAAGCGGTGAAACCAAATTTCTCCAAGTTCCCGCAACACAGCAGTCAGAGCGTCACATACAGAGAGTGAGATTAGTCTCAGGTTTGAGACTCAGAGGGCACGGTGGATGGTTTGGCGGCGGCACACCTCGCACAGGCAGTGAGAGACTCTTGTTGCAACAGAACAGTGTGAGAGAGTGAGAGGGCACGAGGGTGGGAGATCCAGAGGGTCAGAGGGCACGATGAATGGTTTGGCGGCGCCACACCTCGCGCAGGCAGTGAGAGGCGCTTGTCGCGACACAGCAGAGTGGGAGAGGATGCGAGGGTGCGAGGGGTGCGATGCGAGACTCAGTCTCTGAGATCAGAGGGCGCGGTGGATGGTTTGGCGGCGCCACACCTCGCGCAGGCAGTGAGCGAAGTGAGAGATTCTTGTCGCGGCACAGCAGTCAGACTGTGAGGGGGTGCGAGTCTCGGGTCACACGGCAGGATGGATGGTTTGTGGTGTCTCACTTTTCACAGACGGTCAACCCTCATACTTCCCGACTACTTGATCTCAGGGGTGGCAGACTGTGAGAGGGTGTGAGTCTCGGATCAGAGAGCACGGTGGATGGTTTGCCGCCGGCACACCTCGCGCAGGCGGTTCAGCAGCTTCTCAGGCGTCAGCGGCTTGCTCAGGAACTCGTCAAAGCCCTTCTGCGCGCATTTCACCATGTTGCCATCTGGGGAAGAGAGAGGAGAGGGCAGGAAAAGGTTGGGAAGCGAGGGCGAAGTGACTTAAGCAGCCTGCTCAGGAACTCGTCACAGCCCTTCTGAGCGCATTTCACCATGTTGCCATCTGCGGGGGAGAGGGGAAAAGAGGGGGGCGGAAGGTGAGGACGCCAGGGGTGGGTGCGCCGGGCCGGTGGGACAGAGAAGAATGGACAGAGATGTGTGTGGCGGGGTGCCACCAACACTCAATTCACCTCACACACCCCCGCGTTAAGACCCCAAAAAAGCGCTCTCACCTGAGACATGAGCTGTCACAGCAAAGATGAGAGGGGCCTGCCGTCGCGGCTCTGCCAGCTCCTCCCACTCTCTGAACTGCTCCACCGCCTTGATCCCATCCATGACAGGCAAGTTCAGGTCCATCAGCACCAGGTCAAACTGCGGCGCCACCTCTCACTCTCTCCACACACAACCCAACCACGCATTAAGCACCCGGAAAGCCACTCTCTCACCTAAAACGTTGGCAGTGACAGCAAAGATGAGAGTGGCCTGCCGCCGTGGTTCCGCTAAATCCTCCCACTCTCTGAACTGCTCCACCGCCTTGATCCCATCCATGACAGGCATGTTCAGGTCCATCAGCACCAGGTCAAACTGCGGTGTTTGTGTGTGCCTCTGTGTCTCTTTTTTTCCCCACACACAACCCACTGTCTCTCACCTGAGACATTGGCAGTGACGGCAAATATGAGCGTGGCCTGCCGTCGCGGCTCTGCCAGCTCCTCCCACTCTCGGAACTGCTCGACTGCCTTGATCCCATCCATGACAGGCATGTTCAGGTCCATCAGCACCAGGTCAAACTGCGGGGCCACCTCTGCGCCCTCCTCCGCGCCCCCTGCGGCCGCCACTGCTGCCTCCTGCGCCTGCAGCTCCAGGTCTGTGCCGCCCCGCATGAGGTCAAGAGCGTCACGACCGTTGCGTGTGAGCGTGACGCGACAAGAGAGGAGTTCGAGAAGTTGGCGGCTGATGGTGCAGTTGACTATGTCGTCTTCAACAACCAGGACCTGGGGGAAAGGTGAAGCGGAGAGCAGGGGAAGAGGGAGTCGGGAGCGCAAGAAGGAAATTGGAGAGGGGTGGAGAGAGGTGGAGAGGGGGTGTGGTGCCTCCTGTCCCCCTGCAGCCTCCTGCGCCTGCAGCTCCAGGTCTGTGCCGCCCCGCATGAGGTCGAGGGCATCGCGGCCGTTGTGTGTGAGTGTGACACGGCAGGATAGAAGTTCCAGGAGCTGGCGGCTGATGGTTCAGTTGACCATGTCGTTCTCTACCACTAGGACCTGGGGGGGAAGGGGAAGGGGAGAGCAGCATAGAAGAGGGTAAACGAGAGAGGCGAGAAGAGCGGTGGAGAGGGGTGGAGAGGGGTGGAGAGGGAGTGTGGAGCCGTGTGCACCGTGGACTCAACACTCAACCATAAAGATTTGTGCCACTCGACATTGAACCCTGCACGCACCTTGAAGCCGCGAATAAGCTTCTTGTCCTCCTCAGGAAGCGACTCCAGGAACGCCGACCCCCCCGTGAACGACTTGGCTCCCCGCGCTCCCCCCAGCTGGGTGGACGCCGTCAGAGGCAGCGGGCTCCATGGCTTGGACACCGTCAGCACTCCGCCGCCCACTCCGCCGCCCGCTGCTGCCCCTCCTCCTCTATCCCCCCCTCTCTCTCCTCCTCGTGCTGCTCGGTCGCCGCCTCGAGGGGAGAGGGAGAGGCCAAAACCGGCAGAGGAAGCGCCACTGGCTTCAAGAAAGAGGGTCTTGGTGGGCCCGCCTGCGCTCCCCCCTCGGCTCAACCCCACCCGTTCTCTCCTCTCACCCTTCTCTCCCCTCTCCCCCCTCTCTCCTCTCTCGCCTCTCTCGCCCCTCTCTCCCCTTTCTCCTTTCTCCCCCCGCTCGCCTTTTTCTGCCGAAGTTCCTCCGCCATCCCCCCCGCCTCTGCCCCCTTTAAGGCGCTCGTGGGATTTCGGCACGCTTCTCGAGCGATTGTATTGGCTGGGATCGGGCACGGGCAGGTGGAAAAGTTCCTCCCGAGAAATTTTCGAAGCGGTTGCTGACCGTTTGTAAGGAGGGGCGTTTATGCTCCGATCCACCACACTCCCACTATCGTCCTCATCCTCGTCCCCTTCTTCCTCCTCATCCTCCCCCTCCTCTTCCTCCTCTTCCTCTTCCTCTTCCTCATCCTCCTCCTCCTCATCATCGTCATCATCTAACACTTTCCGAAGCGTTTCTGCTGTAGGTCCGTCCAGCACCGAACCAACGCCCGAACCTGCACCCGATCCTGCTTTCTTCTTCACCTTCTGCCCCGTGTCAAAAAACGACCCCGACCCTCCTCCCGCACCGCCCCTCCCGTCCCGTAAATCCACCCCTCGCCCCTCCATCCCCCTCCCATCCAGCCCTCCACTTCCCCCCATAGCCCGATCCAAAACAGCAGCGCGACGCGCAGCAGCAGAGGCAGAGGAGGAGGAGGAAGCAGTGGCACCTACACCAGATAACCCCTTCCCCATGCCCATTCCGCCCATCCCCATGCCCATCCCGCCCATGCCCATCCCCACGCCCATGCCCATGCCCATGCCCATGCCAAGGCGGGTGGAGGAGCCGTGGGAGGCTGATGCTGCTGCTGCTGATGCCTGTCGCTCCATCTCAACTCGCATCTTCACAATCTGCTGCACCTCCTCGTTGGAGTCCAGACTGCTGTTGTGGGGGAGGCGCGTGAGGGAGGGTGGGGGAGGGGAATGGGGCAAATCAGGTGAAGGGACGTTAAGTTTGGAGACGTCTCAAAGCACCATGATAACTGCAAACAACACCGCACAGCACTGCACCACGACACACAGCACCGTACCTGTTCTGCTGGCTGGACTCCTTGGAAAGCCCGTCCATCTCACTATTGTATTCCCACAGGTTGTTCAACAGCCGCCGAGCATACGCCCCCTTCTCCTCATTCCCCTCCTTCACCGTCCCCAGGTGCTGCCCCCACGCCTTCTCCCCCTTCCGCCCCCCCACGCCCTCCCCTCCGCTCCCCCCTCCCCCTGCGCCTCCCCCCGCCCCTCCCCCTCCTCCGCCCCCTCCCCCGCCCCCTCCTCCCCCCCCACCCCAGTTCTTCCCAGCGCCTCCTCCAGCTAGGTCCAGGCGCATGGTCTCAAGCTTCCTTCTGAATTCTTCCATTTCCGAAGGGGTGCGGAACGGTAGAGAGGAGAACGCAGAGAGTAGTTCCGCCCCTTCCCCTCCCCCACCTGCCCCTAGCACCCCGCCGCCTCCCCCTCCTCCGCCTCCCCCCAACCCCTTCCCGCTGCTGCCCAATCCGCCCCCGCTGCCGCTGCTGCCTCCGCCACCTCCCCCTCCTCCACTCCCACCCAGCACTCCTGCTGCTCCCCCTCCACTGGTGTTGGGGCGGCGGCGTAATGACGACTCCAGGTCTTTAATCTCTAGTCCTAAACCCAGGCCCATACCTACTCTGTGTAAACTATCCTTTGAAGTCTCTAGTCCTAGTCCCATGTGCAAACGCGTGAGAGGGGAAATATCCCTATCCCTGTCCCTATCTCTATCTCTATCCCTGTCTCTCTCCCTCTCTCTATCTCTATTCCGTGGTAAAGACAAGCTACTGATTACACTACCGCCACCACCCCCACCACCCACACCCACTCCCCCAGGACCCCCTAAATCATCGGAAATCAGCCCGCCCCCACCCAAACCACCAGTACTTAAACTCCCACCGCCCAACCCTCCACCACTTAAACCACCGCCACTCAAACCACCCACACTTAGACTTCCCCCGCTCAAACCTCCCCCGCCTAAACCTCCCCCGCCTAAACCTCCCCCACTCAAGCCGCCGGCACTTAAGCCGCCCGCGCTTAGGCTGCTGCCGCCCATGCCGCCCGGGCGGCGCTTGAGGGCGGCGGCGATGGTGTGGGGGCTGGAGGGGGACTCCATGGGGGAGAGCAGCGTGGACGGGGACATGGTGAGATCGGATGACCAGTTGTCCAACGACTGGGGGGGGAAGGAGGGGGTTGGAGGGGGTGAAGAAGAGAGACAAGAGGAGGGGGTGAAGAGAGACAAGAGGAGGGGGTTAAGAGAGACAAGAGGAGGGGGTGAAGAGAGACAAGAGGAGGGGGTGAAGAGAGACAAGAGGAGGGGGTGAAGAGAGACAAGAGGAGGGGGTGAAGAGAGACAAGAGGAGGGGGGGATGGACGGATCCGTATAATGATGATCGAGTGGGGGCTGGAGGCTGATGCGAATGGGGACGGTAAAGGGACGATGAAAGAAGATAAGAGGAGAGGAGCGGTAGGTAAGGAGAGTGGTCGAGGGGAAAGGAAGCGAGAAGAGGGGAGAGGGAAGGAGCACTCACCAGAGGGGCTGAGGAGTCGTCAGTGACAAACTCGATCCATGCAAACCACCTGATGGCATGGGGGGCATGGGGTCATGATACGAGGCATGGGGGGCAGAGGGTCATGATACGAGGCATGGGGGGCAGAGGGTCATGATACGAGGCATGGGGTCATGATACGAGGCATGGGGTCATGATACGAGGCATGGGGGGCAGAGGGTCATGGTATGAGGCATAGGGTATGGAGCATAAGGGAAGCGTGCATGGGTACATAATCGAAGGAGCATGGGTGCATGGGTAGTCAGACAGACATCGGGGAAACCCCCATGACAGCAAGCATACATTCACGACTCACCTTGCCCCCACTCACACCACACCACACCACACCACACCACACCACACCACACCACACCACACCGCACCACACCACACCGCAAGGCACCACACCACACCACACATCACACACAATCACCTCGCGCCCAGAGCCCTCCCAGTGGCCTGCACCGTCGCGTAGCTCCTGTTCCGCCGCAACCGCCGATAAAAGACGCACTGGCCGCCCGCACTGCCGCCCGGGCTGCTACCCAGCGAATCCCCAACGCCCACCCCTCTCGGACTCCCAGCTGACCCGGATCGGAACAGACGTGAAGCAGCAGAGGCGGTGGGCGGCGTGAGGGAGAGGGGCGGCGACCGGCGGTCGTCTAGCAAGCGGCGGTCTTCTGTCAAGCGGCGGTCGTCTATCATGCGCTGGATGCGTGGCAGGTCGTCTGCATGGCACGCTGCAAAGGCATGCTCCCCCACCAGCTCTGCCTGGCGCCATCCTAGCGTGGCGCGCACACTGGGAGACACGTAGCACAGCCGCCACTGAGAGGGGGCAGAAGAAGAAGATAGAGGTGGGGAAAGGGGAAGGGGGTTATGCAAGTGGATGCGGGGGTTGGGTGAGAAGAGAGGAAGGGGAAGAAACTGGAAGAATGGTTGGAAACAGGCTTGCAACCATCCCAAAAATCCATGCAAAGCACCGCATGGCACCACCTTGCACCGCACCACACCGCACAGCACAGCACGAGCGTCGAACCCCATTCTGACTCACTTGCCACATTAGCATCGTCCTATATGCCAACCACTGCTTACATTTGTCCTATCTGCCACGTAGACAGTCCATGGTGACGTGGCAGAGAGGAGCAGCATGTCCGTGACCAGCGAGAGATCTAGGCCGTCCACTGGAGATAGGGGATCATCTGATGGCCAGGAGTCCACCCCACCACCTCTGGAAAGCAGGTACGCACGGGGAAAAGTGAGGAAGGAACAAAGCAATTTCTGAATTGTGCCTCATGCAGCATTCCCTGCGACTAACGTGTGTAGCTGCTTTACAAAAACAGCTATATTACCTACGTAAGTCATACTCGCTATAAGTTCATACTCGCTACAGCAACAATCACAGGCGGGGCTTGCCAGGGATAGCAGTGGCAGCCGGGGCAGAGAGTCTGGTGGCGTCCGCGCCTATGGGCGAGCAGCACAGCGCGCCGAGCTCGCTACTCTAGAGGCCCCTCAAAAGACACTCACAGGCGGGGCTTGCCGGGGATGGCAGTGGCAGCCGGGGCAGAGAGCCTGGTGGCGTCCGCGCCTATGGGCGAGCAGCACAGCGCGCCGAGCTTGGTGCCCAGCATCACCAGCTCCTCCAGACAGCGGATCTCGCACTCCAATAGCCTGGGGGGAGGAGGACAGAGAGATTGAGAACGGTTGGAGTGGACTAAGAAGGGGTGAGATCGCACAGCGCGCCGAGCTTGGTGCCCAGCATCACCATCTCCTGCAGACACCTGATTTCGCAAGACACCAAAGGAGCAGTTTTATCTAAGAACCGAGTGAACATAAACACCTGGCTTACTTAAGAGCCGTGCTTACTTAAGAACCGGGCCTTTGGTGCCGGAGGAGATTAACTCGCTGCGCTGCGCGTCCAGCTCGTGGAACCACTGGCGGTACGTCCTTAATCTCTCCGCCTCGAAGCTCCCCCCCGGCGCCGCGCCATTGCTTAGCAACGACGGCTGCGCGCCAAGCGATTGTGAGGTACTTCCGCTACCCCCGCCAGACCCTGCACCTGCGCCACTTGCGCCACTCCCCCCACCACCGCCACTCCCCCCACCTGCGCAACCTAAGCCATTCGCCATCTTACCGCCACCACTCATACTGCTATTGCTAATGCTATTGATATTCCCGCCACCAGGCATGGGACTTATGCTGCCTATGCTGCCACCGCCCATGCCACCACCAGTGTTGCTGCTGCTTCCGCCGATGCCCCCCCCCATACCAGCGCCTCCGCTGGAAAACCCGCCGGTTCCGGTTCCGCTTCCCCCCAGCCCTCCTCCGCCTCCCCCTGCCCCTGTCCCTCCCACTCCCCCTCCCCCATGAGCTCCGCCCGTTCCCCCAGTGCCGCTTCCGCTCTGCGATCCCCCTCCCCCCGCGCCTTTGCCAGCCTTGAGTCCTGGAAGGTTCTCCGAAGCTGCTCCCCCGGCGTTCCCCCCTCCTGCCGACTTCGCAGAGGCCATTGCGGAGGGCTTCCCGCCGGGAGTTGCGCCGGAATTCCCGCCGCGATGAGCGGAAGAAGTGAAGTGAGGCGCAGCCGGGGTGCTGGAAATTCTCTCAGAAGCTTCCACCGACATGACTGCCGTAGGGTAACCCGGTTACGACATGGGAGCCCGTTTATGGTAGCCGCGAGTGCTGATTGGCGAGTAACGGTAAAGCCTCACGGTAACGAAATTAAAGCGCCAATTATTAATCCCTGGTTGCGAATTTGAGAAGAAAAATGCGGTCGTGTGCTGGAAGCATGTCAGCTAAGCATTGTCGCGTGCTGGAAGCTTAGTCATCGAAACATTGTCTGGAAGCATTGTCAGGTAAGCATCTGTGCGGCGTATCAAGAAGCTGCGCATCTCGCGGTGAGCATCGCACGGTGGAGAATCTCCGCGTGCGCATCTAACGGCGAGCCGACAGTACATGGCAGTAGTGTCGGCCGTCAATGCGTCCACTCCCGTTGAGTATTGCCTGTGTGAGACTGTTTGCAGGAGGGAAGCAGTACGGCAAAAACAGTCCGGTGAAAGCAGTAACCAGCTGCGGAGACCTAAAAGGAGCTTCTGCGGCAGTCGTGTCGGCCGTCAATGCGTCCACTTCCGTTGAGCACCGTTGATGTGAGGTTGTTTGCAGTGGCAGGCGAGAAGCGGTACGGCGAAAAGCAGTCTAGCGAAAGCAGTAACCAGCTGGGAGGAACCAAAACAGCTTCTGTCGTTTGACATTTATTCCGTGAGCAGAACGCGAAAAGAGGCCATTTCTCTGCTTCCATGCCAAACAACCATGCGTCAACGAAACATTAGTCGTATACTCTAATCCCGCTCAGTGCATAGCTGCGATATTACGAAAATAAAAGTTGATTAGAGCCTCATTAAATATCTCGAGCCGCTGACTACGAGCTCGGACAACCTAACAGCACCAACTCGGAGTCATCAGTTGGATGGAAAACCTAAAAACTGAAATGCCGACGGAAATTGAGGTGGATAGGTGAGTGTGTTAGGCGGCTAGGGTGAGTTGGGCAGTTTGCCGTAACCCTAACGGACGGCAGGTGAAGCTGAGTGTCGGGATTCACAAATCCTTACTGAGGCACTCGTTAGCGAGGTCATCCCGAGGGTCACGCGACGAACCTGTCTTGCCTATTTCGTCGCACCGAACCACCCCCGAGTCGGCCTCCGCTCCAAACGCAACCATCACCGAGCCATCCCATCCCGAACCCCCCGCCTAGCTAGCTTGTCCCCTATTTAGGCCTCCCTACTTCATTGTTTCTTCATTGAGTAATTCAGTCATTTCCATTCTCGTTATTCGTTTTACTGCGCACTCTGCAAGTTGATTCATAACACTGAGTCCATAGAAAATCTTTGCGGGGAAGATACGTTTGGGTTTTTTTGTTCGCTGCGCTGCTTTCGAAGATTTCAAGTTGTCGGTGGCGTGGCGAATGAATTTCTGTATCGAGTACAGAAAGTGTGGTGAGGGAAAACCCGTAGAAGCATTCGAAGTACCTCATTACACAGCAGAAACACAGTGCTATTACAGTGCACATGTCTAGAAAATCGTTTGGTGGTGTGGCATTCCTTTCCTACACATCCTTCCCTCCCCAAACCATGTGCCACTTTTGACATGTCTAGAAAATCGTTTCCTGCACACCCCTCGCTTCCCAAACGATGTGAGCTGGGTCCACTTGAGCCCAGACACCCCCTCCCTCAGCGCAGCCCAGACACCCCCTCCCCCAGCGCAGCCCAGACACCCCCTCCCCCAGCGCAGCCCAGACACCCCCTCCCCCAGCGCAGCCCAGACACCCCCTCCCCCAGCGCAGCACACACCCTCAGCAGTACTGGAAGCACTTGGAGGGAAGCTGCAGAGGGGTGCGAGGCACATGTGGCGCAGCAGTGTAGCATTCCTTCCCTACCCGCCCCTGCCTCCCCTCCCCACACCATGTGCCTTAAAGCCCTCTTGAGGTAAGGCACTCCCTCGCCCAGCACAGCACACAGCGGCACCACTGGCACTGGCAGACCCAACTCCCTTACTCCCACACACACCTTCCTTCCCACACCATGTGGCTTAACGCCCTCTTAAACTTCGGCACCCCCTCCCCTCCCCTCCCCCAGCACAGCACAGCACACAGCGGCACCACTGGCACTGGCAGATCCAATCCCTTCATTTCCTCCCTCACCTCTCACCCCCATACCAAGCGCCTTAGAACCCCCTTGATCTCAGGCACCCCCTCCACCAGAATTGCACACAGCGGCACCACCGGCACTGGCAACAACACATCCACCCCTTCACCTCCGCCTCTCAGCCGCCTTCTCAGCTCAGTCAAATTGCCCTCTGCAGCATCCTCGTCCATCTTATTGGCGGCAATGAGAGCAGGGCGCAGGGACAACCCTGGCTGATACCGCTCCAGCTCACTCACCAGCACCTGCAGCTGCTGCCAGGGAGGGAGGGCCCCTGCCGACACTGAACTACGTTCGGTAGCACTAGGTTCGGTAGTGGTAGGTTCGGTTGCGCTAGCTTCACATGCGCCAGGCTCGCTCGCATGAGGTTCACTTGAAACAGTACTGGTATTGGAGCCGCTCATATCGAGGACGTAGACAATCACTTTAGTGCGCTCCACATGCCTTACAAAGGACAGCCCCAACCCCCTGTCCCTGTGTGCGCCGCCTATCAGGCCCGGGATATCTGCCACTGTGAATCCCATCTCTCCTTCCAAATCCCACTTCGACCCCCTCTCTCCACTCCCTCCTGCAAATCCCCTATCTTCTCCCCACACAATCTCATCCCCCTCCTCTTCCTCCCCCCTCTCTCCGTTCCACGCGTCGTCACCCCTCGCCTCTCCCTCCCCCATTGCTTTCCCTCCCCCAACCCCGTCCTCTCCCTCCCACGCACTCTCTCCCCCGCCCATCACAGAACCCAGCTGCGGGTGCAGAGTGGTGAAGGGATGCCAGCCCACTCTAGGCTTGGCGCGGGACAGGGCGCGCAGGAGGGAGCTCTTACCCGCATTCGGCAGCCCCACCAACCCCACATCCGCCACTGTTTTGAGCTCTAATGCCACCACCGCCCTGCTCCCTGGGCTGCCCTTCTCATGCCCTAAGCCAGACTCTGCCACTGCCGCTGCTGCTGCCCCTGCACCGCCCTGCACCGCCCTGCACCTTGCATTGCCCTTCCCGTGCGACGAATCCAATTCTTCTTCCGTCTCCATCTCCCACGGTTTCACTCGTCCCATGGAGGCATTCCCCCTACCGCCCGGCCCTCCAACCGCCACTGTCACGCTCTGCCCTTCCTCCACCAGATCGGCCACCAACACACCTCGCTCCTGCGCCCTCTTATGTGCCATCCCATGGGATTGTAACACACTGTCATTCTCACTCCCCTCATCCCAATCTCTCCCATTGCCCCCTTCATCGGCCCGAGCTCGCCTCTGCCCGTACCTCTCCTCACCCCACTGCTGCAGCAGCTGCTGCCAGTACGAGTCTCTGTTCACTCTTCTTCTCACCTTCCTCTCCTCCCCCTCCCCTTCTCCCTCTCCATCCCCCTCTCCCTCCACTTCCTTCCCCTCCATTCGCTCCCCCATCCGTTCCTCCTCCTGATCCGCCTTGGAGGACTCGAACAGAGCCGCCCACCAGGGGGGAGAGGCAGGCATGCTGCTGCTACCAGCAGCAGCTGTTGGTGCAGAAACAGCAGCAGCAACGGGAGCACTGGCAGCACTGGCATCACCAGCATCACCAGCAGCGCCACCACCACCAGATTCATCCCCAATACCCCCCAGGACAACTTCCCCTTCCAGCAAATACACCGCAGTCCCCACAGGCACCCTCACCTCCCTTTCCACCCCTTTCGCCCCCACCCGCTTCTTACTCGATCCATGCCCGCCCGCGCCCCCCTTCACTGTCCTATCAACATTCCCCAGATGCCTCACAGCCGCCGAGGCAATGAAAGTGACCCCCCCACCCTCGCCCCCGTTGCCCCCGTCGCGGTCCCCGTGCCGCGCGTGCCGCGACTTGCGGAAGGAGGAGCACCCGCTGCCCCCGCGCCCGCCTTCCACGCGCACGCGCAGGCGATCGATGAAGGGGCGGTCGCGGGGAGGGTCGGGCTTTGATGATTTCTTCTTGCTGCTGCTGCTGTTGGTGGTGCTGGTGGCGGTGGTGGTGGAGCTGAAGCTTCGGCTGCCCCCGCGCCCGCCTTCCACGCGCATGCGCAGGCGATCTATGAAGGGGCGATCGCGGGGTGGATCGGGCTTCGATTTCTTTGACTTGCCACTGCTCGTGGTGGTGGTGGTGGTGGTGGTGGTGGTGGTGGTGGTGGTGGTGGTGGTGGTGGTGGTGGTGGTGGTGGTGGTGGTGGTGGTGTTAGAGCTAGTGTTGGTGCTGGCGGTGCTGCTGATGCTTCTGCTGCAGCTGGCGCTGCTGCCACTCCAAGCAGCCGACCTGAAACTATGCCCATGGCAGATACCCTGACTGGTGTTGCTGCCGGTGGCGCTGCTGCTGCTTCTGCTGCTGCTGGTGCTGCAGCTGCTGCTTCTGCTGCTGCTGGTGCTGCTGCTGATGCTTCTTCTGCAGCTGAGGCTGCTGCCACTACTGGCAGCGGAGCTGACACTATGCCCATGGAAAAGGCCTGGACTGTTCATCAGGTGTGGTGCAAGTGCGGGAAAACCGCTGTGGCTAGGTGCATGTGCAGGGGAAAGGGCGGAGAGGGAGTGGGTGGGGGTGTGCGTGTGGCTGAAAACGGGGCTGCTGGTAGGGAGGTAGGCAATATGGGGGGGGAAGAAGAAGAGAAAGGAGATGGAGGAGGAACTAGAAGGTTGGGGTGGAGTGGGGAGAACGGGAGGGTAGACTAGAGGACAGACGAGGGGAGGGGGGAGGAAATGGTGGGATATGGATAGGTAAGAGAGACAGAGGAGACGGAAAGAGCACGAGAGTAGACTAAAACGAGGAGAGAACAACAGAAAGTTTGAAGCAACGAGCACTCTCCTGGCTGCAAAAGTGGCAAGTATGAAACAAAGAAAACCAAATCGTGATTCAGCTTTAACTGTGATTGTCATTGATACAGCAAAGTCACCCCAACCCAAACAAGGAAGTGCAAGCAAGCACGGCTAGAGACGAATCGGACAAGCAACAATTTGTGTCAGAATCTTCAGAATCTACGGTGATGAAAACACAAGGGTGCTAATGCTCCTCCTTTCCGAATCCATGCACAATGCTAATCTGCATCAGAGAGAGAGAGACACCCACACAGGAGGATATATGCAGAGCGCACAGATAGTCACATACACGCCATGCATGCACGTACGCACAGACCCACACATACAGTCACGTACGTACACATGCACACACAGAGGCATACACAGAGGCACACACAGTCACACCAAGACGGTTGATGAGATGAGGTGAGTGAGGTGAGAGAGAGCCAGTGCATGCGGAAGCAACAGGCAACAAGCTGCTGGAAAGATGGCTTACGGTAACAAAGGGTGCTGTAAAGTGGACGCTGCTTAACAAGGAGTGCTGTAGGGTGGACGCTGCTCAACAAGGAGTGCTGTAGGGTGGACGCTGCTCAACAAGGAGTGCTGTAGGGTGAACGCTGCTCAACAAGGAGTGCTGTAGGGTGGACGCTGCTCAACAAGGAGTGCTGTAGGGTGGACGCTGCTCAACAAGGAGTGCTGTAGGGTGGACGCTGCTCAACAAGGAGTGCTGTAGGGTGGACGCTGCTCAACAAGGAGTGCTGTAGGGTGGACGCTGCTCAACAAGGAGTGCTGTAGGGTGGACGCTGCTCAACAAGGAGTGCTGTAGGGTGGACGCTGCTCAACAAGGAGTGCTGTAGGGTGGACGCTGCTCAACAAGGAGTGCTGTAGGGTAAACGCTGCTTACCTCTTGGGGGAAGGGAGGGTTGCGAGCGTACTTGGATCCGCCGTACACCCATGGCACTGCGGTGGGGAGGGGGCGGGGGGGCAGAGACGAGGGCGGATTGGGGGGACGGCGGAGGGGGAAGGGAGGAGGGCGTGGGGCAAAGGGAGGGTTGCGAGGATACTTGGATCCGCCATACACCCATGGCACTGCGGTGGGGAGGAGGGAAGGGAGGGAGCAGGAGGGACGGGGGAAGGGGGGGAGGAAGGAGAGGGCGTGACGTGGGGAGAAGAGAGGGTTGCGTTGCGAGCGTACTTGGATCCGCCATACACCCACACCCATGGCACTGCGGTGGGGAGAGGGAGGTTCATAGGGGATGGAGAACGGGGTGAGGGGGGAATAGAAGCGGAGAGAATGGGAGGAGAGCCCATGGGGAGAAGAGAGGGTTGCGTTGCGAGCGTACTTGAATCCGCCATACACCCACACCCATGGCACTGCGGTGGGGAGGGGACAAGGAATGGGGGCACGGGGAACGGGCGGGCGGGAACGGGGAGGGGGAAATGGGGGGACGGGATGCAGGTTGGCCTTGAGCTTGCGATTTGTGATGAGCGATTCTTGAACGCCTTAAAACGCCATATGCCGCTGAACCATGGCTAACTCACTCACAGAGGTACGGGTCAGGATGTAGGTTCCCCTTGAGCTTGTGACCTGTGATGAGCGATCCTTGAGCTTACTTCGGGTTCAGGCACATCAAGGCTGCCCTCGTGCCATGGCTCACTCACCGAGGTACGGGTCGGGGTGCTGGTTCTCCTTGAGCTTCGCCTCTCCCGCTGCCAGCAAACGGTCAATCCGATCCGGATCGCTCTGGCCGGGGGGAGTGGCGGAGAGGGGAAGGCGGAAATGGGGGAGGGAGGGAACGATAAGGAGGAGAAGGCGGAAAAAAGGGAAGGTGGCCTTCTTAGAAAGAGGTATAGAATGCACGGAGAGAGGAATGAGATGGAAACAAGGGATTCGGCATGAGCCGCGACCCTCAACTTCAGAGACCTCTCAATCGCACTGCATGCGTGCGAGCGTGCGTGCATGCGTGCGTGCGTGCGTGCGTGCGTGCGTGCGTGCGTGCGTGCGTGCGTGCGTGCTTGCGTGCTTGCGTGCGTGCGAGCGTGCGGAACATGCGTCGCCATGGACAAATGCACCAATCTGTCCGGCCGCCTCACCTCATGTCGATTCGCCTCGAACAGCGCGCGGAGCTTGTCGGCCTGCCACGCGAAATCAGCGCGAAAGCAATAGCAACGCGCAATGGCGCGCATGCAATAGCGCGTACGCAATATCACGCGCGAGCACAGTGCGATCGTCGCGGAAAAACATTCGCACGCAAATACGGAAAGATCGTTAGTTGAAGGTAGTTTAGAAGCAGATCCTTGACGAGCTTAGTAACGAAACGACGTCTGAGCACTCGCCTCGTCGTAGTAGATGTCGCGAAAAATCGCCCAGCTGAGCGTGTTCTTGAGCGATCGGCGGTACAGCTGCCTCGCGCGCTGCTGCTGCAGCTCCCGTCGCAGGGTCGCGGCCGTGGCGGCGAAGCTCATGGCGGAATGTGGAGGCGGAACGGGGGTGCGGAGGGAGCGGAGAGTGGGGAGCGGAGACGGAGGGCGGAGGCGGAGGGAGGAAGCGGAAGGAACGTAGTACCGACACGGAGTTGAGACGTAGCTAGAATGTGCACCCTGGAGCTTGGAAGGGAAGAGAATCCTCGATATTCTCGTATTCGGTAGAACCAGCTTGAATAGAACCGCGAACATTTCCATTTACAAATTCTGCGGTGTACTTGCGCTAAGATACTTTCTAGGTTCGGTGACCTGCCTCCGCGCGAGCCAATCAGCGGTCACCTCCACCAATCTCCTCGCCGCGTCTCCCTAGGTTCACCAGGCCACAATAACCACTAGGCTTCTCCTCTCTTACCTCCCTTACCACAGAGGAGGCCGAACCTCCAATCACTCCACCTATCCTCTCCTGTTATCCATCCAGACCTGACAGCAACACTCACCTCTCTCCACTCGTCTTTCCTCTCCGTCCTACTGTTGCTTCTCACCGGCTTGGTCCTGGTCGCCAGAATTCTTACAACTCACTTGTTCCTCTCCTCTCTAAATATTTATGGCTGCCAGAGCTCCAAGTGCAGCCATTGCCCTTCTCCGCTCATCGGCGATCCCGCATTTTCTCTCCCCACGGCCTTTGCTAGCTGCGGCTCATCTCTCTCATCCTCTCGGGGTGTTGAATCCCGTGCCTCGTCCCTTATCTTCTGCGTCTCCACTCCCATCACGCAACCTCTATAGTTTGAGTACCAGTGTAACAACCTTCTCGTCGTTTCAACCCCGAGCTACACCCCAGAGTTCACGGCTATCCCTCGCTCGTTCCTCCCTAGCTTTCTCGTCTAGCCTCGCGCGGCTCGCGACTCTCAGAACTAGCAACGAGTCACATTCACCATCGTCTCTTTCGGTGCTCAGCCGTGAGAAGGCTGTTTTCCGCGCGATGGGAAGCGTAGCGACGGAGAATGGAGCGGCGGGTGCGGGAGAGGAACAGATGGATGCGGTGCAGCAGCGACTCATGTTCGACGACGAGTACGTCACAAGCCACCGATGCTGATTATCCACGCCTTTCGACTTACGATGCTCCCAACCGTGCATGAAACGTTTGTTAGGTGATGACCACTAGGAGTTGATCATTAAGGTGTTGACTACTTAACGGGTCTCCTGCATTGACTATTCATAATATTTTTATCCTTCCGGTACCTGCCGTCGCAGGTGCATTCTCGTAGATGAAAACGACAAGGTGGTGGGTCACGCCAATAAGTACACCTGTACGTAATGAGTAACCTTGGGATAAGTTCCAGCATTGGACGCAATTTCATCTTCAACCAAACACGAACATGTCATTCGCTCTCTCGCCGGGCTATCACGGCCTATCGCGGAGAATGTTGGCGAACACGCATGGCTTACAGTGTTTTCTGAGATGACTCAAAAGCACCTCATTTCATAACTCTCCTTACAGGCCACATTATGGAGAACATCAATAAAGGGACCGCACGCCACCGTGCCTTCAGCGTCTTCCTTTTCGACTCCAAGCACCGCCTGCTGCTCCAGGTACTGAAAAACGAAATTATGGAGTGCATCAATAATTCATTTTCTCAGCAGAACCGCAAATGTATCCTAGCCTGTACAGGTGTAACGAAGTATTAGGTCTACGGAAGTTCACAGGCTGGGTGCATATATGATGCATGTTCCATCACACAAACATAACATTGATTCTGATCCTGCTACTTGATTGTAATGGAATCCCCTTGATAACCCTATTTTATCCCTCCCCGCAGCAACGTGCAGCGTGCAAGGTGACGTTCCCCCTGGTGTGGACCAACACGTGCTGCAGCCACCCACTGTACCGCCCGGAGGAGATGGAGGAGGAAAACTCGCAGGGAGTGCGCGTAGCGGCGCGGCGCAAGCTGGAGGACGAGCTGGGAATCGACCCAGATACTGTGGATGTGTCGGCCTTCACGTGCCTTGGCCGCATGCACTACAAGGCTCCTTCTGACGGGAAATGGGGCGAGCATGAGAGTGAGTGCATGCTTTGAGCACTGATCAGAGGTGAAATTGCATCATGAATCTGCCCCTCCTTGTCAATGTGGTGGAACCTCGTCACTGTCAAGGTGGTGGGTGGGATCTCGTCCATGATGAAATGTCGTGCATGATGGTGCCTAAATATCCTGCTAGTGTGTAGTTGATGGTTCCTTATTTCCCCTCTCTATGCCACAAATTCACATCTTCTGAACCCGAACCTTATCATGCCTTGCATATCTTATTTTGTATCCTTACTGCTCCTCTTCTGTTGATGCAGTTGACTACCTCCTAGTACTCAAGGCTGACTTGAAGGCCACTCCAAACCCTAACGAGGTGGCTGCTGTAAGATTCGTGGATCGAGAGGAGTTGAAGGAGCTGGTGCGCAAGGCTGACAAAAAGGAGGATGGAGTGGTGCTGTCGCCATGGTTCCGTCTTGTAGTGGACCGGTTCCTCCCTGCCTGGTGGGACCATCTAGATGCAGGCACGCTCACAGAGGTGGTTGATATGGAGAAAATCCATCACTTGTAATTATGTTACAGTGTACTCATGAATTATCCGATTATGTGATAGAGCTGTATATCATCATGCCTAGAACAGATACGGTACAGATGGAACCATTCCAAAGTGGGATTCACATGTGTGGTAAAGTATGTCCAGAAAAGAAAACGACATACCATACGCCTTACAGTGGGATGTGGTTCCAAGATTCCATCTGACAGAAATTCCCTCCCCTCCCGTGAAGGCGTCAGCAACACGCGCCAAATCCGTTAGACCACCAAGCAAATACCTATCGGACGGATAGCTTGCTCGTTCCTAGGTTCAGTTCAGTGGCTTCAAGCCAGTGCGTCGCATGCCGCGAGTGCCATGGCGGACTGGGATCTCGACCCTGCTGCTTTGTTCGGCGACAAGGACGGCGACGATGACGAAATTCCTCAAGTACGCGAGTTGATGGTAACCGGCTCTAGTGTGTGTTCAGTTAACGTGTCTAGTAGCGCGTTGAAGTCGACGATTCAGCAGGGTCCGAGCGATGCTGCATTCAGCCGCTCCTCTTTATTTGAATGCCAAGATTACTTCAGAATCGTCGCATTCGTCGTCATTTTGCTGCTACATCATCCTAGCCTGACGCAACGGATGTAATATACTTCCAGGGGATGTTCTTTACCCGTGACAATCTTCAAGCATGTTATTCGCTTAGAGTGTTATTAACCACCTTACATATTTCTCACAGCTTCCCCCTACCCTGATTTCGTGCCTGTCAGGACTATTCCGACGGCAAGGAACTGGTGGTGTTCCTCATAGATGCAGGGCCGGATATGTTCCTGCCTTACCACGACGACGAGGTATGTCGATATGCTGACTACCTATCAAATGCATCTCTGAGGCGCCTCAAAAGTGGTCTTTTTCATAGGTGCAGGACCGAACATTTTCCCGACTTACCACGACGACCAGGTGTGTGTATGTTCATTGGATTTTTTTTTCACTTTTTATGCTGATCAACTGAATGAATGTCAAAGTTCCAACCTTGTTCTGTTTCACTCACATTGATGACATTCTTAGCCAACCAAATCCCCAGCCATTTCCTGATCTTTTTGCGTAGCATCCATGGCATTGTATTTCATGCAGGAAGAGGTTGAGGCAGGAGCTAGCTTAGGTACTCAAACCAGTGCGGCCAGCTTAGAGAGGCAGAGAGGAGGGGAGGAGGGCACGGGAGGTGCCGGCGAGAGGACGTATTTCGAGGAGGTGTTGCGAGCGCTGGTGGGTGACCTAAAGACAAGAATTATTTCCCGGGAGAGCGACCTCGTCTCGATTGCTTTCTTCAACACGGTAGGTGGATCTTTACACTCGACTTAAGATTCTCCCCGCTGTTGGGTGACCTGAAAACGAGGATCATCTCTCGGGAGATCGACCTCGTCTCCATTGCTTTCTTCAACACGGTAGGTGGTTGAATTCTTTGAATCGACTCACATGTCAGCTCGCTGGTGGGTGTCCTGAATGCTTGCTTGGGAGAGCGACCTTCTTTCCATCACTTCCTTTCAACACTGCTCACATCACATGCATCTTGTTGCTTGTTGATTCTCTCTTTTTCTTTCTTTCTTTCTTTTGTTGTTCCGGACATTATTTGTGTCCGTCTCCGCTGTGTGATGCAACAAAAATAATTCACTTTGCTGGTTCTGTTCTCAAATGGCAGCGCACGAAGCAAAATGTACAATCGGCAGAGGGCGTGTTTGTGTTTCAGGACAACCAGCAGACGTCAGCACAGCTCATCAGAGACTTTTCAAACCTTCCAGGTGCCCTTCTGAACCGATCCAAACCCACTGAATACCTCACCGGTCTCTTCGATTGTAGCCCCATGCATTCGGCAAACAGGCTGTCCTTGCACCGCAGCCAGTTCCCTCCAGTGATCCGGCATTTCTTTGCAACAGGGGACCTGCCTCTGAAACTAGCTTTGTGCAAAAAAATTGGCCCCACTCCTTTGACTCTGTTCGCCTGTTAACGAAACGATTAGGGTGCAACCCATGCCATCATTATTCAGTTCTCACCCACCAACATCTGCTTATCTTCTGATTTCTGTTTACCGCCCTGCCATTCTGCCGTGCTGCCAACTTCCAGAGACGTTTGAGAAAGATATTGGGTCGGGAAACTGGTTGAGGGGGAAGGTGAAGCCCCACGACAACCCAATGTGCGTCTCCCATTAGGTTACTGGTTCTACCAATGTTCAGTGCAAATGGTATCGTGATGCTGTGCTTTTCTTTACTGTACTGCCTTTGGGTTGTCTTCTACCATCGGGTTGTCCTTGCCATCAGATTAACACGGTTCGTTGTGCAGTTAGCTCGGCTTGAAGGCATTCAGTGCGTTTCTCGTTGCAACGCGCACTTCCAACATGTCTTGATTCGTGTGTTTCCATCTCTTTCTTCATTTGTTCTCCCTTGTGTGCGTGCATGCATGTGTGGGGGAGCATCTCTGACAACGTGTAGCTCAAATGCCCTGTAGGCCCTCTCAACTCTTAGCCACCGTCCTCTCAACTCTTAGCCACCGTCCTCTCAACTCTTAGCCACCGTCCTCAACTCTGAGCCACCGTCCTCTCAACTCTAAGCCACCGTCCTCTCAACTCTTAGCCTCGGTCCTCTCAACTCTTAGCCACCATCCTCTCAACTCTTAGCCACCGTCCTCTCAACTCTTAGCCACGGTCCTCTCAACTCTTAGCCACCGTCCTCTCAACTCTTAGCCACCGTCCTCTCAACTCTTAGCCACCGTCCTCTAAACTCTTTGCCACTGTCCTCTCAACTCTTGCACTCTGATCATGCACTCTACGCATAACCAGGGGTTTTCCGGCCATCTGCAGCTCATATGCCCTGAAGCCTTCTGTTGGACCACGTTATCCTCTCTCACCTTCGTCCTCTACAACCTCTGCACACCCCGTGCACTGAAGTGACCTTTTTTTTTTTGCCATATTTCCTCTTTGCTCTCCTGAATTTTTTATTTCCTTCCTTCAGGTGGGTCGTGCAAGGGCTTCTGCGCACTGGGTACGTCCCACCCGCTTCCCCCTCCCCTGGTATCTATCTTTGTACAGATTATTCTCGAGTTGCTGTAGTTTCAATCAACCCTCAAGAAAACATTCCTGTCCATTTCCTTCTGTCCCGTATCCCTCCTCCTGTCCCGTATCCCTGCCTCTCGTCTTTTCTGTCACTGTTACTGCTCCTTTTAGCCCGTGAGCCTGTGTATTCTGTGTACACCTTACCCTCTGTCATTCTCGTTTTGCAGCACTTGCATTATCTCACGGAAAATAGGAGTGTTGCGTTATCTTACAAAGCACTTGTCTCACGTGGTCACATGTGTAAACGGGAATCCCTTTTCAGATTTTTCAAGAGCATAGATTCACTCACATGGTGGCTGCATTAACAATGCGCCAGTATCACGAGGACATATGATATCCCAAAAACAGCTAGGGTTGCATCATCTCAAACAGCCGTGTCGAGTGTGCGAAGGTGCTTTCATCTCGTTCGTCACCCTCCTTTCCTCAAGATCGGCTCTGAGTCACACGAGGTGGTGAAGGAGGTGCTTGCATACAAATGACGACTACCCATTGGGGGGACCATTCCCGTTTCTCGTTTCAGGTGGTCATATGTACAAATGTGCTTGTCTGCCTCCCTTCTCCTCTGCCAAGCCCCAGCTCGACGGCACAGGAGGTGCTGAAGAACGTGCTGCCATTCACCAATGACGATCACCCACTGGTTTGGGGGCATCCATGTTCCAGATGTTCGAGTGTGTGAGTACGCGACTGTGCTCCTCTGTCTCCGCTTTCCTTTCTCCACCCCCGCTCGACATCGCAGGAGGTGCTGAAGAACGTGCTGCTCTTCACCAATGACGATGATCCCTCTGGGGCCATACAGGTTCCCTGTTTCAGAGGGTCCCATCCCATGTGTAACTGTGATTCTTCCCCGTCCCTGTCCATTTCCCACCATCAGATCCACGTCTCCGGAGCTGCTGAAGAACGTGCTTCTCTTCACCAACGACGATGACCCCTTTGGAGCCATCTTCGTTGCAGGTGGTCACGTGTATGACTATGTGAATGTGGTCTCGTCTGCCTCCCTCTCCTCTGCCCACCATCAGATCCACGTCTCAGGAGGTGCTGAAGAACGGGCTTCTCTTCACCAACGACGATGACCCCTTTGGAGCCATACAGGTTCCCTGTTTCAGAGGGTCCCATCCCATGTGTAACTGTGATTCTTCCCCGTCACTGTCCATTTCCCGCCATCAGATCCACGTCACAGGAGGTGCTGAAGAACGTGCTTCTCTTCACCAATGACGATGACCCCTTTGGAGCCATCTCCAACGAGGGAGTGCGGAGCGACATGCGGCGCACCACCATACAGAAGGCCAAGGTGACTTCCCCCCTTTCTACCATTGCCCGTTGTTGCTGTGTGGCCCTCTCCAACGAGGCGCCACTGGTGCTTTTATCAGCGACTCGTGGTAATTTCCTTCCAACCCTCGAGAGTGACTTTGTTGTCTGAATCAACCCAAAAGTATCCCTGACTCAATCCAAAAGTGACTTGTTCTTTCCGTCCAAATCCTGGTGTCTCTCTACGCTACCACCTTTCCCCCGGGCCCTGCTGCAGGATGCACGGGCACTGGGCATTCAGATTGACCTCTTTCCGCTCAGCCGCCCGGGGGAGAAGTTCAACTCCAACATCTTCTTTGCGGTGAGCTCATTCCCCGCCCATGTGAATCTTCCAAGACGGGCAATACATTCTACGTGGTCCAGCTCTATTCATAAACTCAGCCCCCTCCGGTGTGTCAGGATGGCCGAGTTGGTCTAAGGCGCCAGTTTCAGGTACTGGTCCGAAAGGGCGTGGGTTCAAATCCCACTCCTGACACGATTGCCCACATCTTTTCCCTTTCTCCCCACTCGAGTGCTTTTTGTCTCGTCCTGTTCGTCTTCTAGACGTGCAATACATCCTGCCGGCCGATTTAGCTTGACAATCCATTTCCTTCCATCCATCGCTTTCGTTTTCTCTCCCTACCCATGCGTCAGGACATGCTAGGTGTTGATGATTCACAGCGAGTGGGCTTCCAACCAGAGGAGCACAGGCGAGTGCCTTCACATTCACTCTAGGTAGTGCTTCCTCTGTGCTACTTACTAGTGCATGCTAGCGCCTGCTCCATGCAGCCACGCTCTCTCACTGCACTCGCAACGAGCAGCTTCCATCCAACCAGAGGAGCACAGACGAGTGCCTTTTGAGACTCAAAAGCCACTTTACAGCACTCGCTCTAGGTAGTGCGTCCTCTGTGGTGCTTCCGTCCTGGTGCATGTTAGCGTCTGTTTTGAGTCGACTCAAAATAGAGGAGCACAGGCGAGTGCCTTCACTCTAGGTTGCACGTCCTCTGTGGTACTCCCTTCCTGGTGCATGCTAGTGCCCAATCCATGCTGTCACTGTCCCCAGAGGAGCACAGGCGAGTGCATGCACATTCACTCTAGATAGTGCGTCCTCTGTGGTACTTCCTTCCTGGTGCATGTTAGCTGAGTCGTGCCCTCAGAAACTGCCTATTCTCCCACTCCTTCCATACACTATCAGACTGGATAACTGAATTCACTCTCTTCGACCTCCCTCTGCTTTCTCTCCCCATGGCACCACCACCACCAGGCTGAGCGACCTGCAGCAGCGGCTGCACAAAAAGGTGTATTGCAGGCGAATGGTGAAGCAGCAAGCCATGTTCTCCTTGCCTTTCCTTTTCATCTCTCTCCTCGCACCACCACCATCAGGCTGAGCGACCTGCAGCAGCGGCTGCGCAAGAAGGTGTATCGGCGGCGAATGGTGAAGCGAATCATGTTCGCCGTGCTGCCTCACCTCCACATCGCCCTCTCCTCCTACGCTCTCATCCGCCCTGCCAAGATCCGTGCGTCATCCCCTCCTGATGCCGTATTGTGCTGCCCGTCTCATGTTCCGCGTCTCTCTGAACGACCATTTTCTTCAGCATATCCCTTTTGACTTCCCTGCTTAGTGAGCAATCCATCCTCCCAGCCTCTTCTCGCTCCTGCCTCACCTCCACATCGCCCTTTCCTCCTATGCGCTCATCCGTCCTGCTAAGATCCGTGCGTTACCTTGCATCAACCCCTGTTAACGTCCCTGCCAGCCTCCCTGTTAGCGATCCACCCTCCCAGCCTGTTCGCCGTGGTGCCCCACCTCCACATCGCCCTTTCCTCCTATGCGCTCATCCGCACTGCCAAGATCCGTGCGACATCTTCTTTATGCGCCATGCCTTGCCTCGCTCTGAACCCTGGTGCACTCCCCTGTTCAATTAGCAATCAATCTTCCCAGCCTCTTCTCACTGCTACCCCACCTCCACAACTCCCTCTCCTCCTAGGATTTCATCCGCCCCGCCAAGATCCGAGCATTGCCTAGCATCAACCCCTTGCCTTGCCTTAGCTTCCTTAGCGCCCTTCGCTCGGCGGCCCACTCAACTCATCTTCCAGCTCTGAAAGGGCCGTGTTGGGCCTTTAGGACCAACTGCCACGGAACCTTGGTTCCCTTGTCCCTCGCAGTGTGTTCAGGGGAGCAGGTGTACTGAGTGTGTTCAGGGGAGCAGGTGTACTGAGTGTGTTCAGGGGAGCAGGTGTACTGAGTGTGTTCAGGGGAGCAGGTGTACTGAGTGTGTTTGTAGGCAACAACAATCAAGTTCTGAGACGTCTTGAAATTCTTTGTCTCGCCCCTTGCTGCTGCTGTGTGTGCAGAAAAGCAAGTGTATGTGAGGGCGGTGGACAATCGCACTGTGAAGGTGGGTGAGAGGAGGAGGGAAGAGTAGGGGGCAGAGGAGAGGTGCATGGGGAAGGGATGGGAAGGGAGCAGAGGTGAGGTATGAAGGGGGAGGGGGAGGGAAGGGTGGAGTGGTGAAGTGCACTGGGGCGGGGGCAGAATTAAAATAGATCCGAGATTATTGTGGGTTGAGGTGAAATGTGCAAGGGAAACCATCATTGTATCACTAACTAGTGCGTGACTCCCTATACATGAGCTTGCATGCATCCATTACCTTGCATGGTATCGGCATGCATGGGTCTGCATGCATCCATTTGCGTGCATGGTATTGGCATGCATGGGTCTGCATGCATCCATTAGCGTGCATGGTATCGGCATGCATGGGTCTGCTTGCATCCATGCCACTGTGCGGGTACACATGCTTGCAGGTGGAGACAGCCCTGGTGTGTCAGGACACGGGGGCAGTTCTCCACGGCCCATTCTTGAGGCGCCTCAGATATACCTGCCTCACAGTGTGTGCACACATGTGCACCCTTTGCTATGCACGCACACACACACACACACACATACACACACACACACACACACACACACACACACACACACACACACACACATGCAGGTGGAGACAGCCCTGGTGTGTCAGGACACGGGGGCAGTTCTCCACGGCCCGCTGCCACGTTACCTGCCCATTCCAGGCGGGTAGGTTCGGGAAGGTAGCTTCAGATATGCATCGCCCAGATGTTCAAACATCCTCTCTACATCTGCCTTTGTCATCATGCAACATTTCTTCCACGGCCTTGCACCCTCCTTGCACCCTCCTTGCACCCTCCTAGCACCATTCTACTCCAGTGTCTGTATGTCTGTGTTCGACCCACTCCTTCCCTTCCTGCCAGGTTGCGCATTGTGACGGCAAATGAAGAGGCGGACCAGGTGAAGGCGGTGTGTCCGCACGACCTGCTGCTGCGCGTCTCTGTGTGACTGATTCCCTCCCTTGCGCCACCTCTGTATGCTTCTGTGTGATTAATCCGCTCGTTTGCAGCACGCGCATCATCATGGCAAAGGCGGAGGTGGACCAGGTGAAGGCGGTGTCCCCCCACGACCTGCTGTTGCTGGGCTTTAAGCCGCTCCACTGCCTCAAAGACTACCACAACCTGCAGCCGCCCACCTTCCTCTTCCCAGACGAGGAGGTGAGTTGAGCAACCTGGCTTTTGAGTCGACTCAAAAGTCATGAACCCGTCGAACCTGGCAGAGATTCGAGGCGTCTCAATCCACAACAACAACCTGTTACTGCAGGGCTTCAATCAAGCCCCTCTAGTGTCTCAAGCACCTCTACTACATCACAACCTTCAGCCGTGCACCTTCCTCTTCCCACGTTGGCTATGAGTCGACTCAAAAGTCAACCTGTTACTGCAGGGTTTCAATCAAGCCCCTCTAGTGTCTCAAGCACCGTCACAACCTTCAGCCGTGCACCTTCCTCTTCCCACGCGAAGATGTGGGCATGGCAACCGAGGAGTTGCTTTTGAGAGTCCTTTAGGGAGTCTTAATTGCCCCTCTAGGACCAGCATAACCCGCACCCAAATGCACTCTTTCCAGATGAGGATATTCCCATGCCATTTTGTTTCATGTGCATCTGATGTTGTGTTTTGCACATGCGTATGGGTGTGTGTGTGCGTGTGTGTGTGTGTGCGTGTGTGTGTGTGCGTGTGCGTCTGTGTGTGTGCGCGTGCTGTGCATTGCGTGTGTGCATGTGTGTGTGCATTGCGTGTGTGCATGCGTGTGTGCATGCGTGTGTACATGCCTGTGTGCATGCCTGTGTGCATGCGTGTGTGCATGCGTGTGTGCGTGCGTGTCTGCATGTGTATGTGTCCATCCCGCCAGACCCTCTCTGGTAGCACGGCTGCATTCATTGCCCTGCACAACGCAATGCTGGACGCAAACAGGTGATTGGGAAGCGGGGGGACGAGCACATTCCAGGCACCTTGCTTTGCTTCTCCCAGTCCTTCCTTGCCTCACTTGCCTCTCTTGCCTCGCTTGCCTCGCTTGCCTCACTTGCCTCGCTTGCCTCGCTTGCCTCTCTTTCCAGACACCTGACTGGTTCCCCCACGTCCATGCCACCACACTCTCTCACTTCCTGCTTTCAGTCCTCATTGGTTACGTGCTCCCCCTCCTCTTCCTACCCCTCCTCCTCCTACCCCTCCTCCTCTCCAACCAGCTTTGCACTGGCATGTCGGGCCAAGATCGGCTTGCCACGCCTCATCCTCCCCCTCATCTCCCTCCCACACCCTCTTAACCCCAACACGACTTTTGAGACACCCTCTCAACCCCAACCCTCACATGCATCAATCAGCTTTGCACTGGCATGTTGGGCCAAGATCGGCTTGCCACGTCTTGTCGCCATTGTTCCCCAGGTGAGCTTAGTCCCTTTTTCCTTGATTCCATCCCTTTCTCCTGATTCCATCCCCTTCTCCCTCATTCCATCCCCTTCTCCCTCATTCCATCCCCTTCTCCTTGATTCCATCCCCTTCTCCCTCATTCCATCCCCTTCTCCTTGATTCCATCCCCTTCTCCCTCATTCCATCCCCTTCTCCTTGATTCCATCCCCTTCTCCCGCATTCCATCCCCTTCTCCCTCATTCCATCCCCGTCTCCCTCATTCCATCCCCTTCTCCTTGATTCCATCCCCTTCTCCCTCATTCCATCCCCTTCTCCCTCATTCCATCCCCTTCTCCCTCATTCCATCCCCTTCTCCCTCATTCCATCCCCTTCTCCTTGATTCCATCCCCTTCTCCCTCATTCCATCCCCTTCTCCTTGATTCCATCCCCTTCTCCCTCATTCCATCCCCTTCTCCCTCATTCCATCCCCTTGACCCTCATTCCATCCCCTTCTCCTTGATTCCATCCCCTTCTCCCTCATTCCATCCCCTTGAGTTGCTCTCTAGCTGGTGGGCTGGTTGAAAGTTCATGATCGAGTGCTTGCGCACTTGTTCTCTTACCTTCGGGTGGTGTCTCACCCATCCTATCCGCGTGTTGATCCTCCCATCTTGACCGGTGCAGCAAGAGAAGGTGGACGAGAGTGGCACGGAGGTGCAGCCGGCAGGGTGGCACATGATTCCTCTGCCCTTTTATGATGACCTCCGACCAGCCGAGAAGGTGAGAGCAGCTGAGCAGGTGACTTCTGAGAGGGAATGCTCCTTTCTTGTGCTATCTGCAGCAGGTGCAGCCGGCAGGGTGGCACATGATTCCTCTGCCCTTTTATGATGACCTCCGACCAGCCGAGAAGGTGAGAGCAGCTGAGCAGGTGACTTCTGAGAGGGAATGCTCCTTTCTTGTGCTATCTGCAGCAGGTGCAGCCGGCAGGGTGGCACATGATTCCTCTGCCCTTTTATGATGACCTCCGACTCGCCGAGCAGGTGAGATTAGAGAGGCCACATGAAATCCAACCAGGGGAGATTTGAGAGGCCACATGAAATCCAACCAGGGGAGATTTGAGAGGCCACATGAAATCCAACCAGGGGAGGCAGGTGAGAGGGAATGTTCGTTTCCTGTGCTATTCGAAGCAGGTGCAGGCAGCAGGGGGCACATGATCCCGTACCATTCATATGATGACATTCATATGATGACATTCATATGATGACATTCATATGATGACATTCATATGATGACATTCATATGATGACATTCGACCAGCCGAAAAGGTGAGAGCAGTGGAGCAGGTGGGAGGGGCAGAGAAGGTGAGGGTTTTTTGTGGTATCCGAACCAGGGGAGAGGGAATGTTTGTGTTTTGTGCTATCCGAAGCAGGTGCAGCCAGGGAGGCACATAAACCCTCATGCAGACATCTCTATTTGAGTCAACTCAAAAGTCATAAACCTTCTTGCAGACATCTCCATGCCCCCATCTCCATGCCCCCATCTCTATGCCTTTATCTCCATGCCCATCTCCATGCCCATCTCCATGCTCATCTCCATGCCCATCTCCATGCCCATCTCCATGCTCATCTCCATGCCCATCTCCATGCTCATCTCCATGCCCATCTCCATGCTCATCTCCATGCCCATCTCCATGCCCATCTCCCCACTCCTCCCTCCGCCACTCCGTCGTGCCTCACCACACCATCCCCCATGTCCCCCATTACGGCAACGCTTTCCCTCCACTGCACCCACAGTATGCCCGTTGGGTGCCAGACCAGGGTGCAAAGGGCGCTGGGGGGGAAGGGGAGCAGGAGGGCAGTGGAGGGGAGGTGGTATCTGCACCGAGGGCGGATGCAGAGCAGGTGGCAACTGCCACAACGCTCATGCGCTACATGCACCTCAAGGACTTCAGCCCACTCAACATCCTCAACCCTGGTGGGTCTGCGTATTTGCATGCACGCATGGGTGTTAAGAGCAGAGCAGCGCTCATGCGCTACACGCACCTCAAGGGCTTCACGCCTCTTGACATCCTCAACCCTGGTGCGTCCGCTTGTTCCCATGCATGCATGCATGGGCGGGCAGAGCAGAGCAGCCCTCATGCCCGCACGCACCTCAAGGACTTCACGGCTCTTAACATTCTCAACCCTGGTGGGTTCCCATCACATCCGTTCCCTCTCGTATCCCCTCCCCTCACATCCCAGGTTTGCTGAGCTCGTATGTGGGTCTGCAAGCATGGGCGGGCAGAGCAGAGCAGAGCAGAGCAGCCCTCATGCGTTACATGCACCTCAAGGACTTCGCCCCGCCCAACATTCTCAGGGGGACCTCCTCTACCCTTCCTCCTTCCCAGTCATCCAGACGCACTACTCCATGCTGGAGGCCATAGCCGTAGATCTGCCAGAGGTGGAGCCTGTGGTGGACACCACCCTACCAGACTACACGATCTTCCAGGCCCCTCCCCTCCTGCGTTGCCCTCCCTTCCCCATCCCACACCCCTGCAGTCATCCAGACGCACTACTCCATGCTGGAGGCCATAGCGCTGGACCTACCCGAGGTGCAGCCTGTGGTGGACACGACCTTGCCGGATTACAACATCTTCCTGCCCCCACTCTCCGACACCAACCAGCCTCGAAAAAAAGGGTGTGTTGTATTGCAATCTCGTCCCATGTGTGCTTACATGTGAGTGATTCCAGGATTGAGGTGTGTTGTGGGTACTAGAGACAAGGGAAGATGAGGCTGACTGATTTTTCCTGCGGTTTGATGTTTCAATGGTTCATGTTTGCTCGTTTTCTTGCTTTTGTGTCTGTCATTATCTATACGTACAGGAAAGCTGTTCGTGCAACTGCGGCTTTGAGGCATTTCAAGGACGCAGTATACGGCCCGGGGCATGATGAGGAGGAGGCGCAAAGAACAGCTACAGCTCGAGCCAAGGCAGATGCTGCTGAGAAGAAACGCAAGGCCACTTACGATGCCGCTACCGCCAAGGCCGGTGTTGTGGATTGGCGGGGTCTCGCTGAGAAAGGGAAGGTGAGTTAACAAGCTGCAAGTCTGGGGATGAGTGAGTTTGTTTTACTGATGGGTAGATGTATGACAGGTGGGTGGTTGGGGGAACGATGAGTATTGATGCGTTTTCCTGTTACCCTGTATGCAGCTGGAAACCTTGACAAACGAGGACCTGAAGGGATATCTCAGAATGTATAGCCTACCCCTCACTGGCCGGAAGGCAGAACTAGTGCAACGCATCAAAGAACATCTGGACCAGTAGGGATTTATATTTGTTTCGCATTACACAATTTGCAACGCATTGTTTCTTATCGGGTACACGCTGAAAGTCGATTCAGTGAATCAGTTCAGATCAAGGGTTCCCATCCCAAGGGTGCGGATTAGTTGGCATCCAATCGGAGCATTTTGTCTGCCCCCACGCAGGAGCCCGTTGGGCCACATATCGTCCAACAGCAAGTCTCGTTCCAACAACCTCAAGGACCCACTGCCCCTCGTGCAGTTTTGATTGGTGCATTCTGTGCTGCGACGAAACCAAGGTCTGATGCGACGGTATCGGGTCCAGAATTGCAACGACGAATGCGACGTGACCCGCTGGCCCATTTTGGCGGTAGTGCGTGCACCAACCAATGCCCTGCCCAGGGCCAGCGATTCGGCGACCCTCGCTGTCGAAATACTTCGCTAATCAGTTACCTGTTCGCAATGATCAGGCTTGTGGCTGGCGACTTCAAAAAATTTCCCCTCAACTGGAGCTCTGCGACGTCTCGACTCGCGACTGGTTGGCCAATGCGGGAAGACAGTTGTGCGGCCCTTGCCAGCATATCCGCGACTAGCGTGTGATTTCGTCTGACTCCCCTGCTCAGGGCTGTCGATTCAAGAACATTTGCCCTTAATGCCCTGAACATTCCGGGTTACGTCTGGCGCAGCTCGACCATTTTAAGGGTTTGATTCGACTGGCACCCGTGCCAGTTAAGGGCATCGTTTGGCCCTTCCCCGGATGCGTTAAGTGCTCAATCTGGGCTGTCCCCTGAATCTAAGTTCTACTTTCGGTTCCGCAGACCACCCCCTAAAATCTTGCGGAACACCCCCCTCCCCTACCCCCCCTCTCCATGAAAGTTGCACAATAGGGCGACAGGTGGAGGATGTTTCTCTCGATTTTTATCCAATCTAGTGTGTGTGTTGTGTCGAAGTCAGGAGATGAGTAGAAATGCAGTAGGTAGTGCAACTGTAGTTGTAGTTGGAAGTTGTGACATACAGGTTGACTGGAGTAGTTAGTAGTGAGAAGCATGTGATTTTCCTGTCTATGATGTTGTTTAGGTTAGTTAAGTACACAGCACATTGGAGCCCGGATTTCAAGTTTACACTTCGGCCTGCACCCATGACCGTTAAGGGCGAAAATTTGGTCACCTCCCTGAAAATCAGGGTCAGAATTTCAGCAGCTGGGGGCCTCAAGTTCTGCCCCCAGGGATATCGACAGGCCTGCCCCTGCTGTACAGCCAGACCGAAACCCGCCCTTGCGCTCAACACAGAGTGGTGAAAAGCGTTGCACCTCGGTTCTGGATGTATCTCATAGTTTGGAGATCTCTAGGGTTGGGAGAAGTTAGCAGCCTATCCTCCGAATCGGCCAATTTTTCTGGGTGTCGCTTATTGGCACTAGTTGCTTACCGACGTCGCGTGAAGCGGCCATTCTAGTTATCGTGATAGGATTATACCGTAGTTGGCGATCTTAGTCGAAAGCGCAGAATGGCTGGTTTTAAAGTTACGTACGCGTAATGCACGTAGCTCGATGCATCTCCGCTTTATGACCTATTTTTTAGGTCGATTATGCACGCGATAAGACTAGGGACCTATTTAGCCATTACTATCGTCTAGGCAACCGTATTCTTTAGGCAGAGGATCATTCCAGGCATATTGTACGCAGGCAGCTTTGGGAGAGTACCAAATATCGAGCACGAAGTGAAACGAGCTGGAAGGGGAGCGCGCCCTAAGGGGAACGCGCAACCGCGCCTTCATGGAGTCTCCGCCGTCCCCGCCGTCCCCATCCGACGCCCTTCTTCTCCGCCAGGGCGGTAAACCTCTTCCGCCCGCCTCTCAATGCTTCCCCTGGCGCCCCCACCATTTCTCCGCGCGCCTCACTCCGCACGGTGCTTCCTCTCCTGGCGGAAGTTCCGCCGTCCCCCACGCGCGCGGAAACACACCTACGTGCTATGGCACGGCTGGCAGTCCTCTCCCCTTCGCACGAGTCCTCGAACTCATGGCCAGGCGCCGACGTGCGCGCAGCGGCAGCGTCGGCGGCGGAGGAGGATTAGGAGGAGTTGGTGGCGGCCGTCACGGTAGCCGGCCAGGCGGTGGGAGGACGCCGGTCAACAGTCAGCGGCGCCACGTGTCCGTCACAGGTTGGAAGCAGAATTCTTTTGACGGGGAGGAACTGGGTGAAAGCAGCAACGGTAAAGATGGCAGTAGCAGAGACAAGCTCCGCACGCGTAGCGCCAGGGAATGTGGCACGGGCAGCGGCAGGGATAGCGGCAGAGGTAGTGGCAGGGGTAGCGGCAGGAGTAGTAGCAGCAGTAGTTCCGGTAGCGAGAGCGCGTCGCCTCGTCACAGGACGTCGGGCGTTATAAAGGAGCCAGCAGGGAACACTATTACGGACACGAGCGCAGTTAGAGCGGACTTGAGTAAAAGGTTGGAGGCGTGCCGAACGCAGCAGGCGAGTCAAGGCAGCACGGATACGCGGGCTTTGGTTAGTGGCGCTGGGAAAGGGCGCGAGGAGGCGGGAGGCGCGGATAACCCGGAAGCGCAAGCCCGCGCAGTACAGGCGGAGGGGATGAGCGGAAAACCGGAGGATTTAGCGCAGCGTGCGCGGCTTGCGGAGGCGCAGGTGGACATGGCGGAGTTACAGGCGCAGGTGGTATGCGCGGAGCTGCAGTGGATACGGAGCGCCGTGGAGAGGCAAGAGGCGGGAGTAGCCGCCGTGCTGGCGGAACTGGCGGGGCTGCGCCAGCGCGTGCACCGCGCGCGAAGGTGCGCGGAGGGGGGAGATGGCGGGGACGGGGCGCAGGAGTCTGGGGAAGGGAAGATGCGCGAGGTGCAGCAGGTTGAAGCTGCTGTAGCGTCTGCGGAGGCGCGGCTATGGCGGGTGGAGGCGGCTGCTGCTGATGCGCGCGCCTCACTCATTGCCCTGGGCGGCGAAGCGGGGGGATTGGGGGGATTGGGGGGATTGGCGGGAATTGGGGCCGGGGAAGGCGGCAATGTAGGTGGATTGTGTGGTGAGTGCTGGTGCGAGAGTGGGCTGGGTAACCGTCCAGTGGAAGGCGGGATTGGGGTTGGATGTGGTGGGGAGGTGTGTGGAGGGATGAGAGGGTGTGCGGTGCTTGAGGGGTACGGTGTGGGGGAGGTGGGTTTGAGCGCAGCAGAATTTGCTCTGGAGCTACAGAGACGGTTAGAGGAAGTGCAGAAAGAACTGGTAGCTAAGGGGCAGGGGCACAGAGTGGTGCAGGAAAAGGAGAGGCGTGGAGTGGTGGAGGGGCCAGCAGGGGGAGTCGAGGGAGCTGGGGTTTCGCCCTCAGTGGAAGGAAAAGGGGAGCAGCCAATGGTGGAGGGAACAGAGCGGGTGAAAGGGGCCGGGCAGGCGAGTGGTGGGGTTGAAACAGATGGATTTTCAGTTTGTGAAAAGGCTTGTGAGAAAGGGACAAAAGAGAGTAATTGTGAATTGTTGGTTGGGAAACAGTCAAGGTTGGAAGTCACTGGGCGGGACGGAGAGGTGATGAAGCCAGAGGGAGAGGCATTATCAGGTGCCGGTGAATTGAGGTTTTGGGATAGAATAAGCGGGGAGAGCAAGCTGCTTTCGGGTGGGGGAGGGAATGGAGGTGTTCAGGGAGCTGCTGCTGATTTCGGTGGTGGGAAGGATATCCACGTGAACATTGGCCTCACAAGCTCAGCAACAATATTGGCATCACAAGCACGAGTCAACTCAACGCAAATGCACCAGAACCAGTTGTTTGGGAGTAAAGCACGCCAGTGGCAGCCGGTGTCAAGAACAGAGGACCAAGAAGAGGCCAAGATTCTTCGGGATGCAATGGAGTATCTTAAAAAGGAAGTAGAACGGGCACAGAAAGCAGCACCACCATTGGGTGCAATATGAGCTGGATTGGATATCAGGAAATTCTTCTTGTGCTGTCTAGTGTAAATATGTTCTGTTTTGTGTTATTGCCCACTCCACCCTATTTCGAGTCAGCACACCGTGCTTGTTTTGAAGTTTGACCTAAATTCGCGCCGGAATCGCCGGGGTGATTGCCACCCCACCCCCCCGAAGGTCGTCCCACTGCTGTTCACCGATGAACCTTTAGCACGCAGCAGGCACGCGCCCTCGACCGACCTGGCGGAAAAGGGCAACCGTGGAGCCGACACACAAGGGCAAAAGGTAGACACAGGCCCACGTGGGAGATTCGCGTCGCGTCTGGAGCTGATTATACACGTCATTGTTGAGCTTGTAGTGGTGTATGATCTGCGTTATTCCTGCCGCAATTTCCGTTCGGTGCTCTCGACCAGTGCAGGCCTGGCAAGCGACAGATAATTGGCGACGAAATCAGGGTTGAGACTGGAGCAACCTGCTAGTCGCAGAATCGCAGGCATCGTTGCCACCTGTCGTTCGGATAATCGCAGAGCGGAGAACGCAGATTGTGCTCAAATTGCAGCAACACACCAGCAGCACCAGCACCAGCACACCAGCGGCACTGGCGGCTGCGCGGATTCATGATCTGGGATGAACCAAAAAACAGACTTAGACCAGACCAGAGAGCTCTTCACCACACCGTCTTCCTCAATGAGCAACAAGTATCTTATCAGCTTAGCTGAAAAAGAGCCCACTCACCCCTCACTTGAATTTTGTGACTCATACATTGTTGATTTGAATATCACGTCCTCATTCTAGACGCTTGACGATCCTTCCTTGAAGATCCTTCCCCAGCTGGCTTCATCAAACCAAACACTAGCATCACGCGCTCTCGTCTACACACAGGACATCAATTTCCAGAGTTTTTTCCTTCTCCAAAAATTCGTCACGCCATGTTGCTAGTATATTCCTCCCTGGTCAGGCATAGTCCGCTTAGAGTGTCGACACATGGCGAGACGCTCCCTCGCTCGCTGCCAAGGCAGAGGAGCTCCGGCGTCGTACTTCGTAGACGAGGATCAGTAGTCAGGGCTTCCCTTGCAGTGCAACCAGAGAGACGGAAAAGAGCTTCAGACTGTTACGCTATCTTGGGTTTGACTGCACAAGCAGGAGCAGATGAAATTCGGCAAGCTTACAGACGACTCGCACGCATTGTACGAAATCTACACGCTAACCACAGCTTCGAATTTGTTCTGCTTTTGGGCCCAATCCCTTGACTCCTCTCGCTTGCGCTCTGTGCAGTATCATCCTGACACTAACTCATCAGAGGATACAGTACCGAAGTTTCTAGAAGTTCACGAAGCATACAAGGTCAGTCCCCATGGCATTCAACGACGAGTGTGTGTGTACATTCGCTCCTCTCGTCCTCCCTGCCTCTTCGCTCTTGCAATCAGCTCTTGGAATGGTCCTGAATGATAGTACTTGCCATTGCAGATTGCCTTGCGGCGTCAAGAGAGAGCCCAGGCAAAGGCACTTCTTGAATCTCAGTCTCCACCAAAATCCTCCAGGCCACTCAAAACCGCTGGGAAACCACGCAGACGAGAAAACTGGGATGATATCTGGGACGACATTCTGGGGTCCACCACACAAAGGAAGACTCCAAAACGACAATAAGGGAGTTCAGAACCGCACTGAGTTCCACATGCCAAAAAGAGTCTCAGCGCTTGTACAGGTTGAACTGGTCACAAGGAAGTGACGCAGTTCATGCAACGTATACGCGTGTTGGAAGGCAATATCAATTATTGTAATATGTATTTTAGGCGTTAGTCGTTAACTGGTGATGATGTATGCCATACCGTAAGACAATTTGAGCATGAGTTATTATGGCAGGTTCATCCTCCGGCAATGGTCACACATCATCTCGACATCTGGTGATCTTGTTTGCCTGCCAGTGCATGGTGACAGCAAGGGGAAAGGGGAGGCGTGTCACCTCGGGGCTGGAAGGCCCAAATAACGAATTCACTGTACGAACAGTCTCCAACACAAAATTTGAACACGCTGGTGAATGTAACAGCTCTTCACCAGAGGTGACCCCTCTCTTTTTGAAGACGCATCCTGTTCCAACATGCTACGTCGTCTACAACAGGGCGGTATTGCTAAGCTTCGCAAGAAAAACTTCCAGTCGCCTGCCATTCCAGTTCGACCCATTTTTCGCCCATCCAGTCACAATGACTCCTCGTACTCCTCTACTCCAGTAGCCTACCCATTTTTCCCAGCTACACTACCCTTTCCGATGCACTGCGGCAGTTTCCAGTGAGAAGCGATTTCGCTAGCGACTGCTGTCCAATCAGAGGCGTCGTCCGTGCTGGGAGGGGGGCGCGCAGCACATTTGGCAGCATGCCCGATGTGACAGGGCTGTTCGGATTGGCGAAACTTTTAGTTAGCGACGTCATTAGGGTGCCTACGAGGCCTGGCGAAGCATGTAACATCGCCTGTTCGAACCCGGAGGTGACACGCCCTGAATGACCCATCATCCATGTTCTGGTAGAATGTGCAAATTGGTCACTTCAGTAATTTTGTTTGTGAAATACGTTGGAGGATGCTAACAATGTAGCTCATATTGTTCCAGTACTTGGAAAAGGTACATGATGAGAACATTGCTAACCAAGTACCTTAGCTTATATCATAATGTAGGTGAGAAAGGTTGCCGAATTAGGCAAGATGACACGGCCCTTTTATATATACAATATATATATTTTATTCTTACTGTATGGGCATTACTGATTATCTTTTTTCAGTACGGTATGAGAAAGCATGGGAATCTGTGAATGTGGATATGGAGGAAAGAGCTATATATGGTATCATAGAATATGCAAGTGTAGGCATGTAGTGATGTCAATTTTTACTGCTCTTTTGTGATGGAGTCGCACGTCGCGACGCGAATCAAGTGCTAGACATCCCACTTCCTTCAGACTGAAATTTCTCAATTCCTCCCAGTACCCTTGGTTCTGACCAGCAACCGAGCAGTAAATCAACCCGCGCGTGCTTGCCCAAACCAGTCTTCAATCCTGCCCGACCCACGTCGGGGCACGTCTTTGCCCAGAGCAGACACGTTTCAGAGTTCAGCCCGTGACTTCCGAAACACATCTACAGTGCCAGCGTCATTCTTGCCGCAATCTGGGGAACAGAAATTTCGGGTCTCTCTCAGTGTGCTGGCAGCTGGAATTGTGGTTTGTTCCCGTGACTGGAGGCGGCTCCGTTCTTCAGTCGACTGCGTGGGCTGGGCAGCTGAAACGAACCGGAAGTCGCTTGGTTGATGTGGCTCAGGGAAGTGCATGGATGTGCGACAGTCCACACGGCACGCAAGTGACACCGCCAGCCAGTCAAACTGGTTGCCAAGAGATGTGCTGAACGTTTGTACGTTGCTTGGAGCGTTTAGGAACGGTAATGAGTGGTGCGCCTAAGGACGAGGCCACATGGATAGGGCGAAGGCGAGAGCCAACTGATGAGGACGTCTGAAAGTGAGTCGGCTGATGTGGATGAAGTGGCACTGGTGGTGGCCTTGAAATAGCACCATCATCCATTGTACTCCGATCAATCCTGCTTCTTTCTATCAACTGAATTCTGATCAATCCTTGACATTTTTCAGAATCCTTGAAAATAATTGTGAGCGGACTAGAGTCCTAGTCAGCTTATCAACTCACACTCGCATACTAAACTGGTTCTGGGAGACTGGTATTAGCCCTACGCTGGTTACTCAACGACAATCTAATCCATCACTCCGTCTTAGTTCCACACTCCAGCGCTAGTTCAGCAGTCTAAGGCAACGTTACCCTAGCTCCAGAGCTATGGCTCTTTCCGCCTCGCCGCTCCTGTCCTCACCAGCGAAGATGCCATCTCAGTCCAGACTAAACGGACGGAGTCCCTTTAAATCATCCCCTCCAACCGCTCGACGATTGTTCGTAGAGGCTCGGATAACAGTAGCTCCGGAACGACGACGAGCCACGCCGAACTGCTTCACTGTGCTGGGAGTCCCTGCTAGTGCCGGAGCTGACGAGATTAGACAAGCATACAGACGACTCGCGCGCATTGTAAGCACACTTACTCGATTTTCTGAATTCTCCCTCGGTTACACTGCTCAGTCACCTTTTCCAATCGCAAGTGCATCATAGTGAATGCTGACGCTCTTTTTCGGCAATTGTTTGCCTTGCAGTATCACCCCGATGCCAGTGGCGCTGACGACACGACATCTATGTTTCTGGAAATCCACACGGCTTATAAGGTAAGCGCGGACTGCTGCGTCTCAACAATTCTGCTCAATATAATGTGAATGTCCGAAGGAACACAAGTTGTGTCAATCTTAAACTGGACGTACAGAGTATACACTAACCTTCTTTCATCTTTCCGTCCTGTTATCTGCAGTCCGCTCTCAAGCATCAAGAGAGACGACAGGCCAAAGCATCCATGGCGTCCACGTCAGAAGCAACCGTCAAGCCGTCCCCGTCCTCTAAAACCCCGCAAAGACCCGCCAGGAGAAGAGACGATTTCGACGACATTTGGGACCTCATGGGTGCGTCGCCTCGTCGGCAGGCCTCTCCGCGGAGACAAACCACGCCCAAACACGTTTAGCTTTTTGATGGCAACAACACATGCTTTTACCTTGGTCGGAACGTCATCACGTCCACTGGCTTCAGAGCCTCTGTACAAACGCCATTTTGGGGACGTGGCCTCACTTAAGACGAGTTGCTAGCTAGCCGTAGAGTGCCGTGGTCCGTTCCAGCATACCAGTCCCGCTTGGAAAGGTTTCTTAGGTCCAAGGCCCTGCTTCCGCTTCCAACGGCTGTTGGGCGAGTTGCAACTTGGCGCAGGGTAAAGATAGGAGTAGGAAAAGGATACTTAGGAAAGAGTTTCTACACCTGGATAGTTCTACCAGGTATAGTTTCAGTGCAGTTACCTAAGCGATGCTCTTGTCTGCAAGCAAAATTAATATTCATTCATGTAATGTGGCCAACAGTTCCAAACGCGCACCTGCAATGCAAACCTACTTCCACATACAGACAGCGACATGAGGCTGCGGTTGGGAACTCGCGCCGTACAGCAGCTGGCCGAGTGAGTGCATGAGCTGCAGCTAGGGGAACATGCCAGCAGTTGGTCAGGTACACCAAACCAGCACATGCTCCGGAAATTAAGCAACCGCGTTATAGAGGGCCCATACCAGAAGCAGGAAGTACGGTACAGGTAGACATTACCTTTCCCAGTACGTGTAATTTCAGTGCTGCTACACTTGATTATTATGTTGTGAATAACCAGCTACACAACCCAACCTCATAACTAACATTTCAACTTCCTGCTGAGGGTAAAATTATTTGTTTCTTCCTAGCCCATCTTGTGCATTCCAAACTCAGAGTCGAATCAAACCATGCAGGTTTACCTCCATATTTCACACAGATAAATGGCAAAAGACGTATTGGGTCACACAAACAGGACATGCAGCTCAACATGCGCGGTTTGGATTGCCTCCACCCATGCCAAACACCTAGCATAGCTTCCAGCATAAGATAACCCAACTAAAATACTACCACAATCTAGTACCGGAAATCACTACACAATAGATGGTGCGTCCCCTACCCATGTGCATGACGCTCGCTGCCACCGAGTGCGGATACAATCCACGAGGGGAGCTTCACGCGAAGCGCGCTGCATCGGATTCACACTCGAGTCAAACGAGTCTGCCACCACCTCGGGAGGAATATCATCCGCCCCACTGCCCTCAGGCCTTGGTATCATCATCAGATCCTCCGGGGACCATTTGGGCGGCACGGTCACATGGAGCCGGACTAATCTCGGCCGTTGATCCATTGCAGTCAACGGCGGTGATAGCACACGCTGTGGCACATCCAAACCTCCATACGACATGTCCCCTGCTCCATTTCCCCCAGAAACTCCTGCTGCTGCTGCTGCAGTGCTGCTTCCTGTCTGCACGCGCTTTGCAATCCCATTGAAGTGATACAAGTCAAACTTCCTGCTGGCAGGTCGTCCCCCACTCGACCCCTCTCTCTTGAACCCTCCCTGGGATCGGTCCAGCTTCAGCAGAGCCTGCCACAGCTCGTTCCACACAATTACCCCCAACGCCGAAAGCGAGTCTATTGTTTCCGGAGGGAAATTTACCCTCAGCTCAGCCAGCATTGGTTGAAGTGACTCCACAGCAACAAACCCTCCTCCCCCGCTGGTATCAAAGCGGTCAAACACCTCTCTGACCCGCGACTCCTCTGCTTCCGCATCATTCTCCTCCTGTACTTCAGTCGAAAGCGCAAAGAGCACGGTGTAGTGCGATTCGCTGCCCACCACCCAGATGGGCAGCTTGGGATGTTTTAGTCGCTGCCCGACCTTGCAGAGGTTGAGGGACTCCAGGAGTGTGAGGAAGCCCACCTGGGCCTCTGAGGGAATGCCTTTAAGCGCCATGCCTCCTCCCAAGTCCATGGTACCATCAAATACGTTCGCCACTGCCTCACCACACAGCAGAAGGTTCACAATCTCCTGGAGAGGGTTCAGGCAGGGGTGTGGAGGAGAGGAGAAGCGTCAGTGATGGGGATGAGGTCGCATGACGAGAAGGCTTGAAAGAACTTGTTGATAGAATCGTGGGGGCTAGGCATGAGAATGGAGAGTGAACTCAGTGTTGATCGGAGGGAGTGCGGGATGAAAGGAAGGGCTAGTGACTGAGCAGAGCTAACCAGTTTCCTAGCAGGGCCATGTGAGGCACGATGGCACCAACCTGTGAGGCATGGCCGAACGGGCGTGTGACAAGCGGTGGCTCTGGGTCGTCCCTGTCCTCTTGAACTCGCTCCTGTGAGGGGAGACAGCCCAGAGGGTAAAAGCAGAGAGGAAGCATGAGCATATCTGAGTTTTTTGGAAGAGGGGCAGAGTAAATAGGAGGTGTAAATTTCTGAGCGAAGGTCAGCCTACCGAACCCTTGATATTACTTATGCTAATCCCCTTGACGAACAGGTGCATTCACTCACAAGTCCTCTGGAGAGCAGCGCTGAGAAGAGTAGCAGCAGTGCGCCAAAGTCGCTCTCAAAGACTGGAAACAGCCGGTGAAGCGCCTTCGCCACGTCAGCATGCGACGCTCCCGCCAGGTGTCGCACTCTGACTGCTCCTTGAAGTGCTTTCTCATCGCTGATTGGGCTGGTCAGTGGTTGTTGAGAGGCTGAAGTAGCCAAAGCAGCCAGCCTGTGTGGTGATACGGCAGCAATGACAACTCTCTGCCCTCTGCTTGGCACCCATAACGACTCTGCCATTGCCAACACCAGAGCCCTGCAGCAGGGGGAATGAAGGGGGACAGAGGAGCAATCCCTTATGTTGTCAGAGAAGTGACCGCTTGTGTTGCCAACCAAAGCTGCCAGCCTGTGTGGTGATACGGCAGCAATGACGACTCTCTGCCCTCTGCTCGGCACCCATAATGACTCTGCCATCGCCAGCACCAGCGCTCTGTAGCGGAGGTAGATAAAGAATCATTATGAGGAGGGGGAGAATGGGGAAGAAGGGGGAGGGAACGGATAAAGAGGAAGGGGAGGAGGAAGAGGAAGGTAAATGGGTTTAGAATGAAGGTACGGATGGATGGCAGCAGCACAGATTTGAGAGAATGACACAGGGAGAGGCGACACAATACATAGCTGAGGTGAAGAGCTAAATGTTTACACTTGGGAGAAACTTGACGAGCCAATCCCTCCATTGCTCATTGCGTACTGCTTACCTTCGTCTCTCAACCTGTGAGAAAATCAGAGCGGCCTCTCCTCCCTCGCCTTCTTCTCCCCCCTCCCCGTCTCCGTCCCTCACAGCTTCCAAGCCTGGCAGCGCAGCAGAGTCGCCTGAACCCTCCCCCTCTCCCTCTCCTGCCGCCACAGCAGCCATACCAGAGGCAGCACCAGGAACAATCCCAACCACACCACCACCAGTAGCAGCACCACCTGCACCACCTGTATCACCAGCAGAACCAGTAGCAGCAGGAGCAGAAGCAGAAGCAGAAGCTCTATGATACACTCTCCCTTGCACATCCAGGCCTGGCATCGAATCATAAAACCTCATATCATCCTCTTCCCATCCTCCCTCGTCCGCCTTCCTCCCCTCCCCTGCCTGCCCCCCCTGCTGCCCAGCGCTCGCCCCCCCAGAAGCAGCACCACCGGCAGCAAGGGGGGCGGACGCGGAAGGCGGGCAGGAATCCGCGGGGTGCGCGGGCATGGGGGGGAAGAGGAGGTATTTGAGCAGCAGCGCCTGCACTGGCGCCAGCACCCCGCACGGCCCCCCCTCCCTCTGCACTAGCCCTAACGAAGTCGCCGGGTCGTCACTAAACCTGAGGCAGGAAGGACACTCGTAGGGCAAGGGGGGGTGTAGAAAGCAAGGGAGAGAGGATACGGAAGGTGGGGAACGAGGGACTGGGAGGAACGATGCCGAGATGTTTTCACAGATCAATAGAAGGTAAATTGGAACTATACTGAAACTTCAATGTATTACCTGAAGCCCTGTCGGGACCACTGCGAGAGGGTCGCAGCAGGCGGGGACCGCCCAAACACCATGTCGAACAGCCGAAACGCGTCGTCCAATGGCAACTCCGCCAACCCCTGCTCAACCTCCCAACGCCTCTCCGCCTCCCTCCACCCCTCTCCACCCACCACAACCTCCCCACCACCCGCCGTACGAGCATTCCCAGACCCCCCCATGCCAGACCCCTCAGGTTCAGCCAAGTTCGATTTCGATCCCTCAGCTTCCGTTGCGCTTCCCTCTGTAGTTTTCCCTCCGAAACTCGCGTCTTCGGTTCCTGGAACTCTCACGTCTCCTGCCTTGCCTTCTACTGACGCCTTCCCGCTAGTCTGCTCTGCCAGCGAATCGCATGCCTGATCCGCCATGTCAATGTCATGGACACGTGGCGGAATGGGATTGGCAGGAGCAGAGGCGGTCGTGGGAGCCTTATCTACACGTGGATCGGGCCTGACAGTAGTGCTCTGAGGACGGCTCGACGTGGCAAGAGCTGGAGCTCCCGAAGAGGCAACGGCTGATCCGATATTGGTTGATCCGATTTTGGCCGATTCTGCACTGGGCTTTCCTAAAGCAGCCATTCTTCGTTCTGCGGCTGCTGCTCGAATCTCCCGCTGTATCCGCCTCTCTCGCTCCTCCGCCGACTCCGGTCTCGATGCCACGCGACCGCTATAAGAACCCCCGCTATAGCCACCTCCCGCTTGTCCGGGATCCGATCCCTCATCCTCGGATTTGCTGCGCTTCGCGGATGGCGGACAAGGGTCAGGACTGACATTCAATCCGCTGGTGGATTGGGAATTGATACCGCTGTTGCTGGTCTGAGGGTTTCGCGGAGAGCCGTCTGCTGGCGGATGACTCGTTAAGCTCATGCGAAAGGCCCGTTGCAGCTGCTCGTCCTCGTCGTCAGCCATGTTTGCCAGCCTAGAGAACGGTCGAGAACAAGCCGACCCTTGCTTGAGCTGGCAAATCCGGGGAACAGCAACCAGATGACAGCAGACGGGATTTTGAAGTTTCTAACTCACATGAGCACGGGAAATGGGAACTGGGAATAGAGGAGGAGACCGAACTGAAGTTTCACGCTGGCAGGCAGCATAAATCTGGGAGAAAGGTATTTCTCGCGAACATCGTTGCATGTGTAGACTGGTGGTGACAACCAACGGCCATTGCCAAACGCGGGAAAAGTCGGCGTCATCTAAGCCGTTCAAATCATCCAAGGCTCACACGAAAACAACCCCGTTTGGATGCGTTCAGCACAGCGTACTGACGGAAGCTATGTCAGTCTAGTGTCAATATATATTGCTTAAAACACAAAACAAACCTGGAAAATCTCCTTATTTGAGCTCTTAATAGACCTATTGATGGATTTATCCAGGTCGTTTAAAGCTTGCCAAGCCACAATGCCAAGGGAAATTGTGCAGCACCCATGGCGAGGAGCATGTACCGGTGTCGCGATGAGTCACGGTCGTAGTGCCGGGTCTCCGCAAACATCACCCGCTTCATCGTCTTCACAAGGAACATTGCCATGCACAAGCTGCAACAACAAAAAAAACAGTCCAAGGAAACAGCACAATATGATCACCATGTACCTCCTGATCCAACAACAAACTCAAGATGTAATATCCAGTTGAAGGGCGTACAACAGAACCACCCTTGTGCAACAAGAAATAATACGGTACCTGTCTCTAACAGACCAGTTCTTTCTCAACCACTCACCTTGTCCAGATCAAAACCGGAAAGTAGGCCATCCGCCAGACGACCCAAGAGAGGCTTGTCAGGGAAATTCCAACAAACATGTAGCCAGCGTACGCCACGAGATCGAGCAACGGCGCATCGCCTGATGCCAACGAGTAGAGTATCGTCCGAAGCAGCAGCACCTCCAAAAACCACCCGATTAATCCCTTGCCAACACGCGCATTCACAAATGCAGGCGCAAACCTGCACAACAACAAAAAGAAGATAGTGAACCAGCTTTGGGAATGCATTCCCAGTAACGATACTAAGTGCTCCAATACTTCTAACAAAAAATCCTCAAGCCACACCCACTTTTGTGGCATGCTTTCATCCCACTCGAGCCTAGCTAACTCACCACCAGCCACTATCAACTGTCAACACTAACACCTGAACCCATCAAACATCTCACTCATCATCCACTCCCTACTTGCCCAACAAACCGCGGAGAGTCCAGCAAGCACGACGTAGGTGGCGAAGGCCAGGGCAGGGATGAAGAGGTCCGGGGCGTTGATGTCATTGCATGGCGGCTTGTAGGTCAGCCCTCAACTCCCATATCTCACCCATTAACCCTCAACTCTAACATCTCACCTCACCCCTCACTCAACTCCCTACCTGCCCAGTAGGCCAGCAGAGAGTCCGGCAAGCATGACATAGGTGGCGAAGGCCATGGCGGGGATGTAAAGGTCCGGGGCGTTGATGTCATTGCATGGCGGCTTGTAGGTCAGCCCCCCTGCCACCTGCTCCGCCACCCGCGTCCAGTGGCCCTGCCATGGAAGCGAGTGAAGCATGCTAACAGAGAGACTCAATGGGTTGCCTTTTAAAGCGTCTCAAAAGTCATGGCGGCTTGTAGGTCAGCCCCCCGGCCACCTGCTCCGCCATCCTCGTCCAGTGGCCCTGCCATGGAAGCGAGTGAAGCATGCTGACTGAGCTACTCAATTGGGTTTAAGGCAAAGATACAGGACACATGCACCGATGCACGGTTCTCCAGCATCTGAGATATGGAGTAAATGGACAGGTCAGATTGATGGGATGGGTCAAGATGGGTTGGTCTTGATGAGGAGTGGGAGAAGAGGTTGATAAAACTCGACTGTACCTTGTTCAGGACTGGGAGGGGAGCTCCAGCTCTATTGAACTTGTTTTGTGCATACGAATCGATGCTTTTGGGTTGACTGAAAACTGAACTCCACCGTACTTAATTCAGGACTGGGAGGAAAGGTCCAGCGTTTCGAAGGTTGTTCCATTCATACGAGTCATTGATTTTGAATAATTCCAATCCTACCTTGTGTAGGAACGGGAAGACGATGATTTTGAGTTTGTTGCGCACGTAGGCATCATTGACATGGAAGTAGTAGTGGAAGTCAGTGGATGCGAAGTACTTGCCCACCTGCACACACACACACACACACACACACACACACACACACACACACGCACACACACACACGCACACACACACACACACACGCACACACACACACTCTCACACACACACACACACACACACACACACACACACACACACACACACACACAAAAAAGTGATGTTGATAATGAGAGCAGCGAGGGGATTTTTGAGGTGCCTCAAGAAGCGTCATTGACATGGAAGTAGTGGCGGAAGTCCGTGGATGCCAAGTACTTGCCCACCTGCACACACACCACGCGGGATTGAGAACGAGAGCAATGTGGGGATGACGAAGACAAGGACAGGCGATGGAGAAGACATGGAGAGAAATTTAGAAGAGATAGAGAGGAGACAAGAAACACACTGCAATCTCATACTCCAGCCACTTGAGGTGGGGATTGATCTGCTCTCAGAATGTCAGTGGACGAACAGGCGCAGAGAACTCGCCACAGACGCACAGAGGGCGCACAGTCACACAGCTACGCTACCAGCCCTCGAATCCGCACACACGTGGCCTTCCCAAACCTAGGAGCTCACGTTGTTTTGAACGTAGGCGCGACTGCTTCCTAGTAGCCGCTCGCCATAAGCACCCAGGCCCGACCGAATGAACCCCGACCCAGCCCCCGCGAGCATGTCGTTTAGCGGGTTATGACCCCCATCCGCTCCTCCTCCCCCCGGACCTCCCATCATTCCCGGCGGACCCATGGGTCCTCCGCCAGGCGCAGGCCCCCCGAATCCGAATCCGCCGATTCCGCCGGGAGGCCCCTGTGGCGGACCGAAGCCGAATCCCGGCTGCTGCTGCTGCTGCTGCTGCTGCATCCCTGCTCCGCCAGCCGGTGGACGGTATCCTGGTGGTCCACTGAATTGATCAAACGGTCCAGGAGGGCCCTGGATAAAAATGGATGGAGGGAAATCGATTTGAGTGAAATAGATTCGCCCTACGAAAAGGATGACAAGGGAATCAAGTTGAGACTCAGCTGCGGCCTACGAGCATGCTACGACGACTGATGCCACGACATGCGAAATTCACAGGAGCCATCATCTGCCTTCCCATGTTATCCTGTGTGCTTCCTACGCCTCAAAACCGTGAAGTACCGCGCTCTGGGGCTGAGGACTCACTTGCGGAACGGACTGCCATCCCGAAGGCAGCGAATTGGACGATCCTGGTTGTCCCGGCTGGGGAACGAAGAGCTGCGGTCGGGACATCGAAGATCGGCCTCAAGGATCGACCTGTTAACGAACAACGAGAACAGAACAACCTATCTTCTAGCCTGGATAATGGGCGCGGCGACTGCTGCTCCCGGAATACGGCGACTAGGGTATTCCGCTAAAAACCGCTTGACTCGTACAGCCAGACAAAAACAAACAAGCTCCGGTGTTCTTCGTCAAAGATCCGCCAGGCGATCGATTAATTAGGCAACGGAAGTGAACTATGGAGGCGTTTGCAGGATAGCTAGTATTACCAACGGGGTTATGGAGTAAACATGAAATCCACATTCATGGGAGCGAAGCGAACCTGCTTGGCCCAACATCTTCCAAGCACTTGGCGGGAACTCCGATACCGCTCCCCAACTTCTAGGTTCGGGCTCGAATCGGTGGTGGCTTGTTACTGAAGCGGGGGGAGTCGGGGAAGTTGGTTCCACATGTCGTAACATGCATTTCATTTGGGCTTGGCGTGTAAATAAGTAAAGAAGGTGAGCTATGCGATAAACGAATCACTCTGAAAAAGAGCCTGTGGATGCGCAGCCCTTAGGGATTTGCCAAAGAAATGTTCAAATCAAGCAAGCCTACCAGACCCAATTCAGTCACCCCATTTGCTCCACAGTACCTATCAGCTCGAGCTTCTTGCCTAGCTATCTCCGTCGCAGCCATTTCTTTTCCGTCGCCTGTATTTAGTTCCTAATGGATTCAAGGCTGAAAAAACGGGATCGAAACGTCGGTAGTGCTGGGATGTTCAAAGTTCCACCACCTCCGTCAATCAGCCGAATTCCGTGCACTCCGTTACCAAACCAAGGCAATGATTTTGAAGCCACGCCAAAGACTCTGACTTTTTCCAAGTCACGCCCCTCATGGTCTGGTTCAAGATTTGAGACTCCTGTCGCCGCTCCTAGTTCATCTAGACGTTTTTCGGCAGTTGGTTCTGCTATCCAGCCCAGCCGCGTCTCTCTCCTCGCCAAGGGAGGGTCTACAATCGATCCCCAATCTCACAGCAGAATTAGCTCAGTAAAGAAGCCTGGAGAGGACCCTCGTCCGCTGAAAGACAAAAATTACCAAGCAGATTGCATTCAGACAATTTATGCATTTCTGGAGGACCGTGGTTTTGATAACTCACTGAATCCTAGTATGCTTCAGCTTCCGTCAGGTAAGCTCTTCATTAAGATCTTCGAGTTCGTGATGAAGCAGATGGATCCGAAGTTCAAGTACGGAAACAAGCCGGAAGATGACATTTTGGAAGTCATGAAGGGGCTGCACTATCCGTACAACCTTTCTCGAAGCTCTCTGCAGCAGGCTGGAACTCCCCACACGTGGCCACCCTTGCTGGCTATGCTGAACTGGCTTGTTCAGACGCTTAACTTCATTGATGCTACGTCCGATCCCGGAGCTATGCCAGCACAACTTGCGTCATCGACAGCTCGAGGCTTTGAGAGTAGTCTAACAAACCCGACTTTGGAGACGTTGCTTGATGAAGAGCATTGCAGGGCTGTGTTCTTTGAGTTCATGAAGGAGGGTTACCACGTTTTTATGAACGCCGAAACCGAGGAGCTTTCCGACACAAGAATCGAGCACATAATGCAACAGTTTATGGCTTATTTTGAGGGAGCTCGGCAGGAGGTGGAAAGCGACGTGCAAAAACTTCAAGAGGTGCTTCTGAGGAAGGAGGTAAGTGGGTACCGATGGATTTGTTTCTGAGCAAGGATAAGTTGACAACGTTTTGTTTCTGTGCCACAGGCCACCTTGAAGCGCAAACAGGATAGGTCTGAACTCGAAAAGCTATTGGAGGACAAAGCAACGCTCGAAAAGCTGCAGGGCGAGTTGGTCAAAGCGACTGAACAAGGGAAGATAGACTTACAAGTGGGTCACAGTAAGTTTCTGTCTTTTGCTAAGGCTAAACCGACAATAACACTCTGAATTGTTCCAGACAATTGAGGAAACCTTGCTGGTTAAACAGCAAGAGCTGAAGGATCACACCGAGACCACAATCAGCATACAGGCAAACAACGCACTGCTTCAGAAGCGGATTGAGGAACAGCGATTTTCGAGAGAAGACATAGAACGCATGGCAGAGAGGTTAGCTGGCAGGAATACCGTGTTACAGACCATGAAGGAAAATCGGATGCAAGTTGAAAAGGAGGCGTGCAAAGCGGAGGTTCAAAAGGTCAAGACCGTGGAGGAGATCGAGCAAGCAGCAAACATGTTTAATGAGATGGCGACCAGGTTGGTGATAGTGTCAGTGTAATGTTTTTCTGCAACTTCATTCTGTCTAACGCTTTAAAAAATGTTCTGCAGGCTCAAGCTTATCCCTCCTAGCAGCAAGCATGCTCAGGGCCGTTGCTTCTCTGTACGAGTCAATCCGCATGCAACAAATATTCGAGATGTGTTATCTGACAGCATGCCCAAGGCAGATATCCGTGCAGCTATTCAAGAAGTGACACAGAAGTACTCTTCGAAAGAACAGAGACTGTATGCGGAGCTGGCAACACTGGACATCCAGCTTGCTGAGGAGTCGGAGGAGGTTGGTAAGATCTCTGCCGAGCTGGAAAGCAAGGAGGATGTGAAAAAACGGGTATGCTATGTAGGGGGCCTTGTTCCGGCACTTCATGAGCTGAAGATAGATTTTGTAATCAAAGTGGGCACGGGCCTATTTTGGAGGGTGATATGTGTGCATTGTTGTGCAGGAAGAGGAAGAGATGTTGCAGGTATCTCAGTGCGCTCAGCAGGAAGTACGGGCACGCTTAGAAGACAGCAAAAGGCGAGAATTTCTGGCACGTGTGGAGATTGAGAACCGGGCAGCATCTCTGGAAACTCTGAGGCAGAAGAACGAGGTGCGTTTCTTCTCTCATGGTTTCTGCTAGCATCGGTTGAGAGTTACGTGACAAAGCTTTGTCCTTCTACGAGCAGGATTGCGACATACAACTCAAACAGCAGAGCCAGGCCGAGCTTCAAGCGATGGAGGAGATGAAGGGGACAGCAGTGCGCCTGGAAGACATGTTGGGCAATCATCTGACTTTGGTTAGCCAAATTGCTGATAGTGTTGCTTCGCATGGTCAGCAGTGCCTTAGTGCACTACAACAGCTTCCGGAGTGATCAGCTTGCCAATGACTTAGGCTGTCTCCTTGTCACCTTTCTAAAGTAGTCTATTACTCAAAAGTACAGTAATGAGTCAACACAAAAGAACACCTGACACATGAGGCATAAGAATCAGCCGCAATACCAGAATCCAGTGCACCACTACACATTACAAAACAATATCCTGCACCGCAGGATAACCCAACCCATTATAACCCATTATTCCCTCAAAGTTCATTCAGCTTCTGTGCCTTCAACAATTGAAAGAAGGTCACAAATCAGGGTCTTGAAACGCAATGGACACACAGATTGCCAAAAGATAAGTACGTGTATTGTAAGGTAACTGTTTTGCAGGAACAAGTTCAGTGTTTTCCTGCTTGTTTCACAACTTCAACAGGAAACAAAACCATCAGAAGTTGCTGAGCTTTGTGAGATCCAGCATTCGCTAAAGCCTTGAAATGCTGCCTCGGCTTTTCCTTCTGCAGCAAGAACCATATCTCCTCCAAACTTGCTCTCTGGCTTTGCCTTTCCCAGCATTTTTAATAATCTGATGCAGAATTGAAACAGCATGATGTTTCATCACCCCACGCTCATTTGCAAGCAGTTTGAAAAGCCCTTGCAGTCCTGAAACTTGAATGCAGCTTCCATTTCCACTTTGAGGGTAGACGTCGGAGCCAGCAGCACCAATTTCACCGAACCAGTATTCAGTTTTGCTATTCACCAGGGCAGAACGCCCCGATTGCTCCTCGGAAACATTAGCCAGTGTGTGCAAGGCCTTGTCAAAGAACCTATCAGACTGCTTTGCATACAGATGGCTGCCTGTCTGCATACCGCACAGCGCCACCTCCAGCAGCAAAGGCACAGCGCCTCGATCGACAAGAGCCATTCTACCAGGTCCGCACTTTGATAGGAGGTAGAGCGTATACAACGCGTGCATCCGTCACTTCTTGCTGCATGCTGGCTCCCTCAGCAGGCCTACGGTACTAGCGGCTCCACCACGGACTGATCCACTAACTCCTCTTTCAGCGCTGGCGCCTTAGCGAGACTATGAATTATCTCCATTGCGAGCTCTCTGAGACGCAAACGCGCGGCGCTGGTGCTCGGCGTGCTGGCGCCATTGTCGGAACGGCTGCTGATGTCAACTTGCTGAGCGTTGTAGGGTAAGTCGTGACTACCCCTGGCGTCTGTTGACTCCTATTGGGATCTAGAAACTCTTAAGCACACCTTTAATACACTCTAGGTAGTCCCCACGGGGTCACCTCCAAGGGTCCTTGGGTGCCTGACAACGCCAGCCCCTAACCAAGGGTCCGTGTTTGTACAGGGATTCTCCTTAGTGTAAAGACGGTCGTGTGCACTAAGAGCATTCCCAAGCTCAATTGCGCAGCGTTGACGAACGATAGGTGCGTGTGCAGAAAAGC